AGGGGGTAAAACGGGGGTTGGAAGTTTCTATGAAAGTGCTGTTTTCACGTGTACGAAGTCGGGGTTGGCCACTAGTAAAACGAACAAACTTTCACATTTATTATATTCTTAGTAGTATTGAAAAGACTGCCCCAAATGCGACTCGAACCATTGACCTCCCTTTGCCAGGTGACTGCATTTTCCTGGTCCCGCCTGAGGCGATAAAACTATTCGAATGGAAACAGACTCCCGGGTTTTTGTGTTTTTGGTTTTTGTGAGTAAATCTTACTCATAAACAAACCAATTTTTATTATGCTCTTAAATAGACGCTATTCGTTGCAAAATATATTTTATCTAAAAATAAACAATGCTCTTAGAACATTAACCAAAAACATTTTCAATGATATTTTTTCTTATTGAAAGAATTTTTTTGATAATTTCAATTTTACATGAAACATGATGCTGAAACATAACTAAACTAGGTACGCTTTTTCAATAATATTTTTTGTTAAAAATACATATCATGTTAATTTCATATTAAATAAAATTACTTTTACTTTGACTGTGTGTAAAAAAATTGCATGAAACTAAAAAAAATCATTCCGTTATTAATTTTTCCGTTCCGTTATAATTCCGTTTTTAATATGCATTATTTAAAATACTTACAGGCATGTGTATCACCACATTCACCACCTGTATTCAAATAACTTCAATAATACCCCGTCCTTGCAAACATAACAATGAAACGCTGCGTTAAGAATATTCCTTAGGTCACTTATTGCATTCTTACATCGTATCTTCAGGTAGGAATCCCCTAGTACATTGGGTTTTCCGTGTACAAGATACACTGTTGACCCACAGTCTGGTACATTACCTTTAAGATAATAAGTAATTTGTATATCTAAAGCCATGTATTCATTAGGCAACATTTGTTGATAAACTGTTTTTGACTAGTGTGAAACAAGTTTACCTATACCATAAACACAGGTTTCTGAAACTTGGCCGTCCACACTTGCTCTCTACTCATAGCGGGGAGCACGGCAACATGTATCATAAGCAATGTTTCATCACCTATGTTTATGGACTGTTTATAAACTGTTTACAGAGATGATGAAACATTATGAAACATTGTTTATGAACAGTTTATAAACAGTGTTTATCAACAAATGTTGCCTAATGAATACATGGCTTAAGAATGGTACTCCCCGAAAGATAGTACAAAGTTTTTGCTTAAAAGCCAACTAAGATGCACTCAATTTTCCCGATTGGTAGTATATACCTACAAAAGTACAGGGTTTTTTTTATCATCAACAAAAACAACTTTTTCCTAAAGGATCGAAATGTGAATATGTTAAAAAAATACCTTAGAAATTATCATCAGTATTGGTCACTTAGTGATGAAGATGTCAATTTTTTTAGAATTGTATACTGCACTTGTAGGAAAAGTTGTTGTTTTGAGTAGGTGGGTATTTCTCATCGCCACGGTTCTCATCGTCACCTTCGTGGCGAATTTTATTTCTAACTTATTTCAACTTTTTGTAAACAAAAATTGTAGCGCTTGATGTGAAGATTGTATTCTCAGTAAATCAGTCAAATAGTGAGTCTCGTTTGGAAGCTTTAACGTTTTGAATTTTTTGATGCCACGAAAGTGATTCTGTACTTCACAGCAATAATTTTTTCAAACTTTATTACTGTAAATGACTCTTAAGTGTTTATAAAACATATATTTTGTCTTATTTTCATAGATAAATAGCAATAACATAATATAAACAGTAGGATGGTCCTTATTCCTACGAAAAAATTTTTTTTTCTTATATGTTGCGGGGCACCACGTAATTTGAATATATACCATAATATTCAAATTAGGAGTCTTTCAATTTTTTTTTAAATTTTTTAAAAGACATTTAGGAGTCGCTACCAAGGTTTGAATTTTAAGTAAAAACAGAAAATCTGTATTTGTTAGATTAATTTATTTTTATAGCCGAAAAATAAAAATATTACAAAATTATTGTTGTTGCTATGAACTAAGATATTAATAATTATTTGAATCAATTATTATTTTTAGGATATAAGAGTTACTTGTTAGTTTCTCGACGCGTCGGTACCATGGTCGGTACAGAAGAGGGGTTGAGGGGAGAAGGGGACAACAAGCGATTGTCTATTCTATCTATGCGATGTTTATTTGCATGTAAAATGTGATATAAACACTTAAATAAAACATTTATGAAATCATGATTTAAGATCTTCAAAGCTTTTTGTAAATATTTTGACAGCTGGTAGCGACCTCTAAATCTTAACCAAAAAAAAAACAAAAAAAGCTAATTTCATATTTAGAGGTATATTCGAATGAGAAAGTGCCCCGGGGATAATTCAAAAGTCGAAAAATAAGCACCACCCTAATAAATAGGTACCTACTTAAATACAAGATAAAATTTTACCGATTACGTCACCTACTAAGTTACAAGATTCTACGCAAGAGCTATCAAGATAGTTTTAAGGGTGACACTGGTGGCATTCTGAAATGCTAAAGAAGCAAAAGACGGATTATCAGTACCTCAATAAAAAGAACTCTAACTGATTATCAGTCCCTCAACAAAAAAAAATATTTAGGCCAGAGGGCCTCGTCTTTTTGTTGTACAACTTTTAACTCAAACTTCAGATTAAATTTATCTTACAAACAGATAGACAGTCGCATATACAGACATACATACAGTCATACAGACAGATAACAAAAATACCCTTATTTATTTATTGATGTACTGATCTCTACTTACCACGTATAATTTATTAGTTAATAAAATATTGTAAAAACATAAACACCAGTCACTATATTTTAAAATAAACCAAAGCAAGAAATCACTTTCGTGGCCTAAAATCACCTTCGTGTATAAAACACCACGAAGGTGATGCCACGAAGGTGACGAAAATTTTAGTTTTTTATGAATTATCCTTAAATTTGAATTTAACGGTTCAAGTCGAATACTACACAAATAAGTCTAACATGTTAAGTTTTCAATGGCAAAGTTTCAATTAAATTGTTTAAATTTTAGAGGTAGAAAATATTGTTCAAGCAAGCGACGGTATGTCTATGGATAATCACAAAAAGTTACGTATTTTTTTCGCGGAGCGACGATCGACCTATCTCACCTCCCCAATGGTCGAAGCGCGACTGACGTTAACCGAATAGAACGCTGTGATTGGTTGCTGGTGTTCGGTTTAACGGCAATCTTGTATTATTACTCAAAATTTTAGGTACCTAAAATCGTGTGACCAACGTATTTCGCTTTCTCAATTCAAAATAATTATAAGAAGATATTTTTTTGACTATTGTGTGGAAAGTATATTTAATTACGATGATTTTAGTATATGCTACACACAAAACGAATGAAAATTGTGAATGCAGTAACCAAATGTTTCATTGCAACCGAAGGTGTGACACGATGAGAACGCGAAAAATCACCCCGTTTTTTATCGTTTCATGTGATTTTTTCATATTATTTTTGCTTCTATTACGATAAAATTTATTTTGTATGTAGCTAAATAGATATTTTATCATCTGATTTCAAAGTTATTGTTCTAACTTATACCGTTTATGAACTATTATTGTGTGACCATCAAATTTGAGTGTAAATGAGAAGTACCCAGGTACATAGTACTTCTGTGTCTTGCTGTTTATGGATGCAATACAAAATTGAGTATTGAGTTAGTAGAGACAACAACAACAGTGTATTTAGAAAGGTACCTTTCTAAATAAATAAATAAAACCCTTATTGTAAGGGTTTGATCTACTATAAAAGCATCCTTTAACCTACTAAATCTAAGTGCATTTTTATCCAGTGGTATTTGAATGAACACTATGGTTTACAAAAGCTATGGTTCAACACGACTCTCCATGGACTGTATGAAAAGAAGCCAGTTTATTTTTAACTTGCCAAATGTTTGTCTCGAAGCTCTAGGGCAAAAACAGAATGTACAAAGGCTGAAATACTAATTTTATTTGTGATTTTTAACACGAACTGAGTAAGCTCTCTTAATAGAAAGCGCTATTTAAAGAAAGGTACTAAATCATATTTATAAGGCAGCTTTGTTTTAGGACATAATAATTCATGTAATTAATACGAATTAGGACTCTACAGAAAGTTAAATTTAGTACATAAAGAAAAACAGTTATCTTTGATCAATGTTTCTATGGAAGCTTATAAAAGCGCTTTACAAAGGCCTGTTTATAGAAAATTGGACTAAACATTGTTTGATTATTTATAATTCCCTGACTTATGGGGTACATTTTAAGTTCAAAAGTCACGTAGATCCCAAGTTGGAGCTTGGTCCCCCATTGCAAGAAGTTTGGTACAAGAAACGGGTCTTGTTTGACAGGTTATTTCAGAGGAAAATGATTTCCACGCAGACAGTCGGAAAATGCGAACCACACTACGCCGCGACCTCTGAAAGTCCTAAGTACTAGTCACTAGATGGCACTGTGCTGCATTAGATCGCGGTTTGTTTTGATTTTTTTCTGGTGGGCTTTTTCCAAAAGAAATGCGTCATTTTTTAAGGGTCACTACTTGTATAAAGTAGACCATAATTTTTTTTTTATTCAATTAGGTACTATTAAATTATTGATACCGTTTGTTAGATCTTGTGAAGCACTTTCAGCATCAGTAACCAGTTTTACGATATCTTGTATAGTTTTTAACATTGTGTGGCTTTACTAAATGTATGGAAGCTGTAAACATTGAATTTTCGAATAGATCCAGTTTATTCTGTATTATTGATACCGTTTGATAGAGCTCGTGAAGCACTTTCACGATCAGTAACTAGTTTTTCGATAGTTTAGGAATAATTGAGAGAGATAGGTACTTTTTACTAGTAAGTACACCTAGCATTATAAATACATTATGTTATTGTAAACCGAAGATGCAAATCAATAAAAGTTCAATCGTTATTAATAAAATAAATACGGAAGACATCCCAGGTTCATCCCTAATAATATTGGCGACAATCGCTCATATAAAAGATGCGCATCACGCAAACGGTCAGTGCGCATACACACGCTATCACAGCCGCAGTGATAACGCGCATGGAATATAAAACGAACATTATAAAACCTCTTTCGATTAAAATTGTCAAAACTTTTTGGTCGCGCCAGTTTATACGGACTCCGCGAAAAGTTTTTGATCTGTGCGCATTTTGGCGGGAAAATTTTAACGTTTAATTTGACTTAAAAATTAAAAGTAATTTAATTTAAAGACTGTAAAAGTTCCTATTTAATTATAAGTTTGTGATATTGTGAATTAGTAAAAATGGTGAACAAAGTGTACAAAGTCAATTCGACAAAAGGAGAAAAGATGGGGAGCAAACATAATCAAGTTCTGATGTCTATAGTTGGTAAGTACATAATAATATAAGTAAAATTGTCTTAATTAAGTAATTTTCTTAGGTTTATTTAGCATTATGTTAGATCATTGCTTTAATTTAATTATTATTAAAAATATTAATCCAAAATACCTAATAGGTAGCAAAGAGAAAACACTAAAATAAAAATATTTTTAATAAATGAAGAAGCAATAGGTAAACATATAAAAAATAAATCACAGGGTTTTCATAATATTACACTCGGTAAAACCGCAAATCACACGGGCGGAGCCACGAGTAGAAGCCAGTTTATCATAATAATAATAATATTACGCTTTACGAATAATTTTGTATGTTCAAAATTTATTTATTTCACTGCAATAATAAATAATAACAGCATCTTAAAATAATTTTAATAAATAAATAGTAAATCGGCTAATTAAAATACAAAATAAGTAAATAAATTATTTGTACAATAAATAATTTGAGTTTTTTAGATCATTAATTAATTACATCAATGTAAACACCTGCATTTCCCTTTAGTAAAAATAGACGCGGCAAGAACTATAAATATGATAGCACAATGAGAACAATAGGTTGGATAGGGCATTTAATTAACTATTCTCCCATCATTCATGACATGGCAGATAACATTTTTTTAAACATTGACATGTCATACAATACCAGTCAGGCCTAAGAATTTTTTTCCTACTTATTTAATATTGTAGAAATTATTTAAATAATTGTAATAAATATTTGTATTTGACAAAAAAACGACAATTAATAATAATTTACTTTATTTTATTTTATTTTTATTTAAAATTACTACAAAATTAAGGGAAAATGGTATACCGGTTGACTTGAATTCCCCATCAAACGACGTGATAACTAAGTAAAAATATTTAAGAAGTAAAATGGTAATTTGAAATACTGTTTAATAAATCCATAGCGTGTTAGGAAAATAATAAGCTTTTGAAGATAAAGAAATTAATATCTTTAATAAATTTAAAATTAAATAATAAGTAATAGTTTAAAAATTACTATCAATTTGTTCCCAAAAATGAAGATCAATCTCAATTTTTACTAACTCCACGGTGCATCGTATCAAAGTGCAGTGCTCGCTGCCAAATAATTCACCCACACGTGTTACTTACATAACTGCAATAAATTACGAATAACTTGTTCCTAAACATTGATGCACTTTTATTCTTGTTTGCTCTATTATCATCATCATCCACTGCTGAAAGTAGGTACCAGAGGTTACCTTATTGATGCATAATAACTTAACATTTTTAAGATAGGCAGTTCTTGGCGGGAAGAGAAACGTCATAGCTATAGAAAGAAAGAAAAGAAAAAAAGAAAGAAAGAAAAAAAATAATTAATTGTCATCGACAACACACTTATTAATAAATCTAGCGCTTAACAGCCGTATTCCCAAACATTACTATGAGATCTCATAGTGCGCGTGGACGCACAGGGTAACACGCGAACCAGTCACAGAGCTCTATTCAACGCTGTGCGTTTTATTTGAATACGGGCGATAGACACGTATGGGAGAGAGTTTCGTAGATATCTTAAAAAGTATGTCAATTGACTATGGTGTCAAATAACCAATTGTCTTTGCCCCAACGATGTGCATTGCTCTATCTTTGATTGCAGAGACATTCTTTAGGCTCAATCAAATAAATCGTTTTGTAAGACGTTATTTGTGCGTTTTCAGGACCGCACACGGAAAATTGTATTGACAAACAACTACTTACCGTTGGAATAAAAATTACAAACACCCACAGTTAGGCAAAGGCACGAAAATGTCTAAAAACGTCTTACACGTAATAAGTAGTCAAGTAACTCAATTTTAACTTAATTTTAAGTGATTATTGCTAGTAGAGCCCGAAAAAAACACAGGGCCTTATTACAAAAAGTTAAACGGGTGTTGAACTGTTGTTTAAACTGAAATGTCATTTTAAACACGTGTTTAAGTTTTTTTAACAAGCCTCATGTTGTTTACCTCTTGTCTTAACAACGTTTTTATCACCATAAAACTAATTAATACGATTAATTAAGTTTTTCTTTAAAGTCGCTAAATGAAGTTGCTAGCAATCTGCCGCCGCATCTCAAAAATTAAGAAAACTTATTCAATTAGATAATTATGTACTTAGTTAATTAAAAAGCTTTCTGATTTAATTGGAAATGTAATTAAATATGAAAATACAGAATTTTTATCTCATTTGAAGATAATTGAGGAAATTAATCTCTTTAATCGTGGTATATTATGATTAATGACACGACACGCGTTTGACCAAAGTCAAAGTAGTCGCCCGGCAAGCGCAAGGTCGTCGTCGTGGGTTCGATTCCCATCTTAGGCAGTTCGATTTTATCAAGTTGCTTAAAATTTTACTTTGATATGCGACTCTATGCTAAAAAATTGATGAATGTGCGAAATTGAATCGATCCTTAAAATTCTTGAGCTTCTTCTTGTCGTGTCGACAACAAACCTACACAGTGTGAGCCCAAAACTCCGCCACAAGAGTGGCGTTGTCAGTAGCCTTCATGAAATCTTCCTACGTGCAGTTGTTTGGGCACGCAGAGCATAACATCATGTGCTTCGTCGGCTGGGGAACAAAACCACACTTGCACTCTAAGTTTGAGCCATTGAACAGATGATGATGAGCTAATGTTTGACAATCACTATAAGTAAAACTCTTTTGTTCCAGTATGCATGCCGATCCTGGCCTACGGAACAGCCATGGGCTGGATCTCGCCAAACAAGGCGCTTCTCATGGGCGACTACTCGCCCTCCACGTCGCCCTTGTCAGAAGAAGACGTATCCTGGATGGCGTCCATCATGTTTATTTTCGCGCCCGTAGCTGTGTTTGTCTATGGCGTGGCAGCTGACAAGTTTGGGAGAAAGAACGCGCTTTTATGTGCTTCAGTTCCTATAGCGGTAAGTTTTATTTTGTCTTGGTATATTCAGGGTTAAGTTTCCCTTTTGAAATGATTCAATCAAGGGAACTTCATAATTATTAGGAGTTGACCGTCCCTCCACCTTCTTCACCTGTCATCCGCTTAGCACTGGAGGAAATTCGATCCTCAACTTCGAACTCCTTTGTTGTTCTGATTAATTTCGTAGCGGGTCCTATCACAGTTTGGCTTTCCCCAGGACATCCTTAACCTTCACTGGTTGGGTTTTTATTGGCGGTCAAGATTTAGATCCTGGCTACACAGGAGTTGCAGCGGTGGAAACGAGAGGCGGGAATAGTCCCGAATCCCTGCCCTAGGTTACCTAGGGCGTTTGGGTAACTTCGCTCTTAATCCAAAGCTTCCTGCTTCCCGAAACAGTTTGCGAAACATTGCTTCAGTAATATACCCAGAGCTTTATGTACTAAAGTACCCTTTCTACTACAGCTCGGCTGGGCAGTCAAGTTGATAAGCGCGCACCCTATCGCGCTGATCGGCGCACGTGCACTCATTGGCTTCGGCTCGGGCGGCGGTTTCGTGGTGTGCCCTCTCTACGTGAAGGAGATTAGCGAGGACAGCATACGAGGCATGACTGGCACCTTCGTTATATTCTCGCAGGTCAGTATCATAATTATCATTTCAGCACGTCCACTGCTGAACATAAGGCCTCCCCCAATGATTTCCAGATTGATTGGTTGGTAGTTTTCTGCATCCAGCGCCTACCTTTTTGTCGCACACTGCACTTTCCGGTACGTGGTCCCTACTCCAGAACATTGGTGCCCCATCAGCCGTCAGTTCTGTGTAGGTACTATGTGCCCGTATATGAGCAGTCAGTGTAGTAATGATGAATTATTTATTAATGATTTGAATACATATTTTTGTGTTGGATAGCCCATTTTATAGAGCTTAGGTCACATAACATCACCCTACAGTCAATTGGTAAATACTGCTCCGCCGTTAAGAAAAATGTTTCAAAAACCGGAAATGTTATTCAAACTTTCTATAAATTTCACGAAAACGAAGTCGCGGGCACAGCAACAGTCTATTTATATTTTGGAGTACAAATTAAAAACAAACCTTTTAATTCGTTTAGGGTAACCCTTCCGTGACTAAACCAATACAGTTCGTTCTCAAAGAAACCGTTTAAAATGAACCTCTCCCGTTAATTTATCAGAAGCGGAGGGATCGTGATCCTTAAAGTAATTATTCAGATGTATTAAGTCGATTAATCGCGATTGCTATTCGTGTCGTGACGATTTTAGCACGCGTTAAAATTTCTATGTAAAGTTGACAGCACTTCTTGACTATTTCGAAACATAATCTACTAGAAGACCACCTTATGTACCTAGATAATAAATGCAAACAACCTGGGTGGGTGTGGAGCACTGATGACCTGAAATACGGGTTTCTCTGAAACCATGGCACCAGTCTTTCACATACAAGGTGCCAAATCATTATAATATTGTAAAATTGTAATTTCGTTTTTATCATCATCAACAGCCCTTTACAGTCCACTACTGGACTATGAGCCTCCTCCACTATAGTGGAGGGTTTTGCCATAATCTCCACGCTTGGCAGGCGGGTTGGAGATCGCAGTTTAAAAGATTGATGTTTTTCAGAGAGCGCTGCTGCCCATTCTCTGTTTGATGTGTAGTCCCTAAGTCGCCTCTTACGACACCCGCGGGAAGAGTAGGGATTGGTGACAAATGTATTCTACTCTGCCGTCACCACACGGCGAAATAAATATTTTATGATTTAATTTATTATAATTTTGTTGCTAACTCGCCTCTTACTGAGTCAGTGCCTAGGGATGGGAGGGTGTCTTTTTGACGTCAAAAGTCAGAGACTTCAGATGTCCCTCTTTGTATGTTCAGTCACGTCTAACTATGTCAATGTCGTGATCGAATCAGAAATGAGGAGATCTGCAGGAGAACCAAAGTAACCGACATAGCTCGCAGAATTGCTAAAATCAAGTGGCAGTGGGCGGGACACATAGTTCGTAGAGACGATGGCTGTTGGGGCAGGAAGGTTCTCGAGTGGCGACCACGGGCTGGAAGACGTAGCGTGGGCAGGCCTCCTACTAGGTGGACCGACGATCTGGTAAAGGTCGCGGGAAGAGTCTGGATGCGGGCAGCGCGGGACCGTTCATTGTGGAAAACCTTGGGGGAGGCCTCTGTCCAGCAGTGGACGTCATTTGGCTGAAACGATGTCATTGTCACCCCTCCCGTGCCGGTCCCATACCGCAGGCACTGACGCAAGTTAACGCTAGTCCTTATAATAAGTAGGTACATTCTTCTTCTTCTTCTTTGGTTTATGGCGATGAACTTGCGTTTTTTCGCCACTGAGGGCACACTATTCCGCCAATGTCACGTGCGCAGCTTTTACACAGTGCAGTGGTTATAAAATAAGTAATTTTGTAGCTGCAATTTAAGCAAACTTACATTAAGATGCCACAGTGTGTAGGTTGACTGTTGACATCCCGATCGTCTAAGCGGTGACACCTAAACTTTTAAACTTAGCGACAAAATGATGTGACGTTGTGTCGCTATTATGAGCCCTGCACGAGGTTTTGATTCTAAGGTTGAGTTGTAGGTACCACCTAACTTTGACCGTAACTACACTCGGCATCAAATAAATCGCACCTCCCGCGACAAGAACTTATCAAACGTATGCATCCACACTTCCCACCAACATTGGTACCATTTGAAAGCCTAGTTCTAAACTTCATTTCATTAAAGGAAACGTTTTTACCCCAAAAATGTGTCTTTACAAGGATCCAGAGTCATTTCTTCAAAAAATAGGTAGTTACGCTATAGCCATTTTTTATGACTTTAAAACTGTTAAGTTGGGATTAATCGCTATTCATCTGTTAAAGAGGACACGTGAGATCTTTATTTGGTTTTATAACCATAAAATTTGGTCTAATTGATCCCAGAGGTGAGCCCAAAGTGAGGTCTATTTTCAAGTCACATTTATGGTATATGTTAATCATTTATTTAGAAATGAAATGTATTTTTCTTTAAGGATATTTATTGGGCTTTCATTCGTTTCAGCCAAATGACGTCCACTGCTGGACAAAGGCCTCCCCCAAGGTTTTCCACAATGAACGGTCCTGCGCTGCCCGCATCCAGGCTCTTCCCGCGACCTTTACCAGATCGTCGGTCCACCTAGTAGGAGGCCTGCCCACGCTACGTTTTCCAGCCCGTGGTCGCCACTCGAGAACTTTCAAATAACACCAATATTGTTGGGGTACCATGATTGTGTCAGAAGAAAATCTTTAAAGTTCGCGTCGCGGAAGGTCCGGTTTATTTGATGTTGAGTGTATAACGATATCGGTGTAGGTAGTTAGTTACCTTTGGAGAGAAAGTTCTCTTTTCTATATTAGTACAACAGATAATAATTAATACTAATTAGTACTTACTTAACTAGGCAAATCTTTTATCTAATTATCGCAGAGCTCTAATTTTAAACTAGAGATCTAGGCTGAGTTGCACCACCTAACTTTGACCGTAACTATAACGTTAACCGGTGTTTTACTTTTATGGAGTTTGACAGATTTTTGACGTTTGTCAAAGTTAAAGAAAGATGGTGCGACCCAGCCTTAGAGTTCACCTAATTTGATTATTACTACAAAACTGATTGCTTTTACAAATTAATTATGCTTGGGAAATTCTGGTCTACGTCTAGAGAACTATCTTCAAACGCCTGGAATTTGGGAAATTGAAGGACATAATCCTATTTAAACTTTCCAATCTTGATTATTTTACCTCTAATTTCATTTTCTAAGAAGTTTAGGTAGGCTTACGATTAGGATGCTGATAATTTTATTCCTAAGTATTTTAATAAGGAGCGATTATTATACAGTTTTCTTAGCCTCTACAAACTTTTTGGAGGAAATTATTAGGTATTAGGTATGTCCGCTTTTGAATAGACCAGAATTCTTGCGGCCTAATTCACGTATTTTGTAATAATCAAAATGCCGTTAACGTTTAGAAGTCGTCCTATTGGCTCTGTGCACGATTACAGCGCCAACTAGCGTCCACAACTTTGTGGGCTCTGTCACATTGACATTTAGGTCGTATAATTGTGAAAAAATATCGAAATGAAAAAATAACAAATATTTTCGACTAATAAATTGTTGTGATACCACGATTTGGGTGGAAAAAAGGTTTTGAAATCATTTTCGTCATTCAAATCAAATGAGGTAAGTCCAAATATTGTGTTTAATTTTGATTGTGTCAGGGTTTGTTTACTTCATTTATAGTTGTAGTTTTACAGTAAAACAAAAAGAAAAAGCTACTTTAACGGTTTCATTACATAACAGTAAATATATTTAAATGTTCCTGTATCGCTAGTAATAAATTAAATTCGTTTTCAGATCGAAATGAGTATTGTTTTGAAGACCGTGTTTGTGAGTGTTACAATATGAAATTCCAACCACAAACCGTATTTAAAGGAAAGTTGTTGGTATTGGCTGGACAAGTCCGAGATGTAGAAGAATTAAGAACAAAACAAGGGCAGAGTTCAATAATTCACGCTCTCATCATAAGGCAAACATCTGTGCACAACAACTACTGTGACTCATTTTTGTACTACCACGTTGTATAGTCTAGTTATTTCCAAATTGTAAACGGCTATTAAACCAGCCCTATCGAAATACAGTCCACTCTTTTATTTAAGTTCCCAGTAGGACCCTTTTCATGCGATTAATTAATGATATTTAAATGTATTATGTAGAATCGCTTTGCCATTGACAGATACATCTGATGACAGAGCTTACATTATTTCTATTTTTGACCACCATGAGCGCTGCGATAGATTATGTTACCCCCACCTAGTACTTCGCACCCAGCGAATTGAAAAACAGTCTAAAATGCGTGTTTACGTGTCATTTCGATTAAAGTAAGGCCAACGAGAAGCGATACCAAATGTAAACAAACCCAATGTCATTGTCATTTAAAATAGTAGGGTGGGTTGCACCACCTATCTTTAACGGTAACTATGACGATAACCGGTGCTTTTTGTATGGAATTTGACAGATTTTTGACGTTTGTCAAAGTTAAAGTAAGATGGTGCAACCCAGACTAAGGGTTTGACATTGACATATTTTGGCAGGAGAACGAGATATTACGACAAATAGATACACAAGATGGGAAGAGACAGAATAGATTGTCAATTCGCAAGTCGAATCGACCTTTTGTATCGCTTCTCGTTGGCCGTAGGTACTGTTAATTATGAAAAATCTAAAACGTTAAAATAACGGTATCGTTGTGGCCAATGAGATGCTGTCATAGTGACATTGACAATACGTCAATGTCACGCTAGCATCAAACGTCAGAATAGAGAGACGCGCGGAGACGACTCCGCGCGCTTTTGTGCTAAGTGATGAATTGTATCTAAATTAAGGCAATATAATGTGGAAGATGAGTATCCAGTGTTTTATTTATGAGAATAGATCGACCGGCTTCTAATAGTACTTTACTGGATAGAATCGCAACTCGGCTATTTGTCGTTTAATCACTGACATCCGATTAAACCGAACTTCAAAATAGGTAACAGGTGAATTACCGCGGAGGCAACGATCGAACCCGATATTGTTTCGATTTCGTTTTTATCTATACTTATAATAAATCTGTAGAGAGGTCAATTCTGTACATGAAATATATGGGTAGTTCTACAAATCAGGGAATTTTACGGGGCTCAACTTGCAGCTCCTTAAATTACCAATCAATAGTTTTCGTTTTAGGGTATTAATAAAGTTAAACTCACATAGTACTTGGTCACTGAATTTCAACACGTTTTAATAAAAACATCCCAGACAAAAATGGCTTCAAATGGGAAAAATTCTCATTTCCCTGTGGGGTGACATTCCAGAATTCATGATGTAAATCACAATAAAAAATATATAAAAATATAACTAGTCAAAAATAACATTGTATTGAAAGTAACCATTAGTGTATCTTTCATTTAACCTATATGGATTATGTTTGAATTCCCTATTTACATATTTTTTTGATTGCTGAACAAAGGCGACACGAATTAAGTATCACTTCCCTGCCACCTATAAACACGTTAAAATCTGTAACAAAACAAAGGGTAAGCCACGTTGTCGTTCTTATGTATTTAGGTATGCAGTTAAGTTCGCCTAGTGAAACGTCTATTTCGCCCAAATCGTCAGTCAGTTAGACGCAGCTACGCTGTTATCATCGTCTGTCGTGTCTGGGCCAGACAACTTCTCACTCATCTGTTACGTANTGCAATAACGTGTGCGAGCACTTCCAAATAGGCATCGTAAAATATTCTTCCATGAAAGCAAATGTTGATGACGCTTAAACTGAATCTGAAACTGAGACCAGTAATGCCTGCAACACCAGTATTTTGATTCATCAGACTTGGTTGACCTTACGAGTGTACTGGGACTGAATGAACATTGATGATCCTGATGGATTGCTGGAGATGCCGAAAATAGATACTAACGAATTGTTTCCAGTCGAAGAAAAGCGTCGAGGAAAGAAGAGGAAGATAATAGAAGGAGATAAGAATAGTAGGGAAAAGTCAAAGAGATCAGGTGACGGAAAAAGAAGCAACCTAAATGAGTTCCATGTTCAATTGATAGTGGACCTTTATGATGCACATAAAAGTATTTTTTATTATTTTTAGAATAAAGACTATAAACTCAAATGCATCTTTCAGTAAAATTTTCACTATCCTGTATATGTTCTCACTTCCCTGTCCATCGAAAATAGAAAAACCGCTATAAAATCAATATTTATCATAATTTTGTCTGGCCCGTTAAAAATTGGATATGTTGTAGTATATTCTCGGTCTTTAGTCACTGTTTACACTGATTACTAACAAAAACTGGAGATTCATTTTATGGTCCTAAATAATTCCACCGTGAGTAGAACTACCCATATTTTCAAAATAACTATCAGGGGGTGATTAGTGATCGATACTGATGCCAAAAATGCAATCAGTAAAATTTTTGTCTGTCTGTCTATCTGTCTGTCTGTCTGTCTGTCTGTCTGTCTGTATGTTCCTTATAGAAACAAAAACTGCTTGACGGATTTTAACGAAACTTGGTACAATTATTCTTCGTACTCCTGGGCAGGTTATAGGATACTTAGGAATTCCCACGGGCACGGGAATTAGCGGGAAAATCCTTTTGTATGAAAAATCTAAACTGCTTAAGTTAGACGCTTGAAATTTGGCATGCAGGTACCTTAGTGAACTCAAAGCTTAGTTACCTGTATTGCAAAATTCCCACGGGAACGGGAGTTAGCGGGAAAAAACATTTGTATGAAAAAATCTAAACCGCGTAAGATAGATGAAGGGGGTAAAACGGGATCCACGCGTACGAAGTCGCGGGCGGCCGCTAGTACGTAATAAAAACGAAATCGAAACAATATCGGGCTATTATTATGTGACTACGAAAAGTGACTCCAGCGATCAAATCGATAATTACTATCCATATTTATCTACTTTTTGCATAAAAACACAGCCTTTTCTACGAACGTGGGGAGTCCCGCTACTAAATTACGTACTTCTCAGTATTCAAATTGAGGACCTTTTCTTTCGTTATTTAGACTGCGTACTTTTCAGAACCAAATGAGGTAGATGCGCTAAATTCTAATGAAGTCGTACAGTTAGCGTCAAATACACTCGGCATCAAATAAATCGCACCTCCCGCGACAAGCACTTATCAAACGTATGCATCCCCACTTCCCACCAACATTGCTACCATTTGAAAGCCTAATTCTAAACTTCATTTTCATTAATGGAAAGGTTTTTAACCCAAAAATGTGTCTTTACAAGGATCCAGAGTCACTTCTTCAAAAAATAGGTAGTTACGCTTTAGCCATTTTTTATGACTATAAAACTGTTAAGTTGGGATTAATCGCTATCCATCTGTTAAAGAGGACACGTGAGATCTTTATTTGGTTTTATAACCATAAAATTTGGTCTAATTGATCCCAGAGGTGAGCCCAAAGTGAGGTCTATTTTCAAGTCACATTTATTTATGGTATATGTTAATCATTTATTTAGAAATGAAATGTTTTTCTTTAAGGATATTTATTGGGCTTTCAAATAACACCAATATTGTTGGGGTACCATGATTGTGTCAGAAGAAAATCTTTAAAGTTCGCGTCGCGGAAGGTGCGGTTTATTTGATGTTGAGTGTAGTTCGTGACACCCAAAGTGACCCAAAGTTGACATTACACTTCGTTCGTTCGTTTCAGCCAAATGACGTCCACTGCTGGACAAAGGCCTCCCCAAGGATTTCCATAACGACCGGTCCTGCGCCGCCCGCATCCAGGCTCTTCCCACGACCTTCACCTGATCGTCGGTCCACCTAGTGGGAGGCCTGCCCACGCTACGTCTTCCGGCCTGTGGTCGCAACTCGGGAACTTTTCTGCCCTAACGGCCATCGTCTCTACAAGCTATGTGCCCCGCCCACTGCCACTTTACATTTTAGCAATTCTGCGAGCTAAGTATGTCGATCAATTTGGTTCTCCTGCGCGACATCACACTTATTAAATGGCAATGCCAGATTTTGTATGGAAGGTGGCGTCTTTTTTTTTCGCTCGGCCATCGACCAAACTTTGTTTTTTGATTACAAAATAGTGTAATAAACCAAACTTACTATGGCATGTATACCTCTAAACTCAGTCTGAACTGAGTTACGAGCATTAGAAGTTTGATAATTTTCATACTAGATTTGCTTTTTGCGCACAAGTTTTGTAAGTAATTGCAACATCCATTGGTTTGGTCGATGGCCGCGCGAAAAAAAAAAGACGCCAATTTCCGGCATTGTCTTTTGTAACAAAGACGCGTTGCGAACTTTTTGGCTACTTTGAGTTAGTGTCACGAACAATTTGACGCTGACTGTAGGTATTTACTTAGTTAAAATAATGATAATGAAAATCCATATTTATCTATTGCATAAAAACAGCCTTTTCTACGAACGTGGGGACTCCCGCTACTATATTACGTGCAATACTTCTCAGTATTGAAATTGAGGAACTGTGTACCTACTTACGAATGCATACAAAAAATGTATGCATTACCAATCGGAGTACAAAGAGGAAAACTCTTTTGCATTTTTAATGTTTTAATAACTTGCATGGTAAACAAATTAGTTCTTTGTAAAAGCCTCTATGGACTAGTGGTTGAAATTGGATTCTTTCAATCAGAAGGTATTGGTTTCAATCTCCTGGTGGGACACACAAACAGAGAAATCGTTTAAAAATACCTATCAGTTTCCACTTACAATCGACGCACACTATCATTCATTCATTTAATGAGACCAATAAAACTTGTTATTAATTTACGTGCGCATATTTACGTACTTTGAACTGTATATTATGTCATACTATACAATATGGAGACACGCTGGATTATAATATTGTTAAGCGACTTCCAAAAAGGAGAAGATTCTCTAAATTCGAGTTACATAATTAAATTAATAATTTAATTTTATCTTTGGCAACTTTAATTGACAGAAGTCGTTTAAAAATTAGCATTTTCGCCCTCGTTAAATTTTGTCACAGATTAATCGCGCGCGTCCCTGTTTCAAAAAGCGGATAAAATCTATTCTCGGGGGCTCAAACTGTCTCTATACTAAACAAAAGTGTTTTAGACTAGGCGCAGAACATCGATTTTTCGTCGGCCGATAGTTTAGTCGGGCAGTTGATCAGTATGGGCATGTATGGAAGTGCGCACATTACACCGATTTGATTTGGCCGATTCTTCATACAAATTAAAATCGGGCCCAATTATCGGCCAACTAAAAATCGGTGGTCTGCGCCTAGTCTTAGCGGTTTAGGCGTGAAAGCTTAACAGAAAGACTAGAGTTACTTTCGCAGAATATAATATTCATCATCATCATCATCTCAGCCATAGGACGTCCACTGCTGAACATAGGCCTCCCCCAATGCTTGCAGGAAGGCGCTGGACGCAGGTCGCTACCAACCGGGCAACATGGAATATACCTAATATTAATAGAGATTAAATAAAAGCAAACAATAATAAATAATGAATCTCATTTTGTTACAGACGATGGGAAACCTGCTGGTGTTCATACTGGGAGACCTGCTACCCTTCCACACGGTGCTATGGATCTTGCTGGCGATCCCTCTGATCCACTTCTGCATCCTTCTGCGGCTGCCAGAGACTCCTTCCTACCTTATCAAGTCTGGAAAGAATGAGGTAAGCGACTATTCCCACCTTTCGTTCCCACCGCTGCAACTCCTGTGTCGCCAGGATCTACAGCTTGACCGCCAATAAAAACCCAACCAGTGAAGGTCAAGTTTATTGTGAAAGTTAAACTGTCATTGGACCCGCAACGAAATGAATTAGAAAAACATAAAATAGGAGGAGTTCGAAGTTAGGGATCGATTTCCCTCCAGTGCTAAGTGGATGACAGGTGACAAAACAACTTAAGGAACGTTAAGGAACTATGGATAACTATGTAGATAACGGATACCTAAAATTCTAATTAATTTTTGTGAATGTCATTTTCAACATAAGAAAACACCCAGACCAATACAATTATTCTATATTCATGCACAAAAATGAAAAAATAAACCCATGAAAGCAGGTAAACAGAGATAAGTAGTACTTATCTTAGGTACTTATTAAGTAGGTACCTAATAAAATACTGTAAAATAACGCCTCCAAAAACGGTCCGTGCCAACTTCTTAGTAATTAATTAATTATTAAGATACGCCCAAGCAACTTAAGTCATTAAAGTTTTAAGTTCCAGTCTAAAGGTGTCGCAATTAATTATTTAGACACCTTGTTCATTTAAAACCTGATAAATTTCCTGAAATAATTACTACTAATAAAGCTAAAGTTTTTTCGTTTTATTGAAGGCGCTAATCTTAATATTACAAGTCCGATATAAAAAATATTTTTGTGTTGGATAGCCCATTTATCGAGGAAAGCTTTAAGTTATATAACTTCCTTCACCCTACAGCCAATAGGGGCGGAGCAGTAAGAAAAATGTTGCAAAAGCGGAAATATTATTCAAACTACATCATTATTTTCACCCATATGAAATCGCGGGCTAACTTATAAATTGGATTGAAGACTTAGAACTTGTTATCAAGTGGTTATAATATTCATGTAGGATTTAATTCATGTATCAACTGAGTTTACTTAGCTAGATACTAACACCCGTATTCACAAACATTACTATGAGGTCTCACAGTGCTCGTGGGCGCACAGGGTGACACACGAACCAATCACAGAGCTCTTTTTAACGCTGTGCATTCGATTTGCTGCTTTACTTAAGTAAGCATCGTTTGTGAATACGGGCGTTAAACTATTAGTAGCAACGTGCATCAATTCTCATACTGAACAGTCGACGGCATATCAATCTAATAGGTACATTTATTGAAAAATAACACCTAATATAACTAGCATAAGATGCGGCAATGTGTAACTCTATGTGCCGTCTTTCATACAAAGTGTGAAGCAATCTCAGCACAATGAGAAAAGGCAGATGAACAATTATATCTGCCATTGTATAATTAAAAACAATCACACACATTTGCTCCGTTCGTGTGCAATTTACATTGATTGAAATCTTGATGACTTGGCGGGGAAGAAAATTATGCTGTTAGACGTTTTAGAGTGGAAAATCTGGGAGAAGTGCACATTCATTAATAATTTACGACAGTGTTTCTTAATCTACGGTCCGAGGAAATAATGCCTCAAAAAGGTTACAGGCCGCTACCAACCGGCCATTGTGGAAATCATTGGGGGAGGCCTATGTTCAGCAGTGGACGTCCTATGGCTGAATTGATGATCATGAAGTAAATGCCACCAAAAGTCTCGTAGCTAATCGAATTTTATCGTTGCTTTTTTATTAAGGGGGTCCTTAATATTGTGCTTGATTTCCTAAGGGGTCCGTGGACAGAAAAGGTTAAGAAACGCTGATTTACGAGATAATCTGCTATTGAATCTCGAATTTGTGAAGATTATTATGTTTGTAACGGTCGATTTAACCGTAAGCAGAGTTGATGGAGCAACATAAACGATTTGAAAGAGATTTTTTTTTACTGCAGTGAACTTTTTGACATTAAGACTGAGTTGCACCACCTAACTTTAACCGTAATTAGAACGATAACCGGTGTTTTTTGTATGGAGATTGACAGATTTTTGACGTTTGTTAATGTTTATTAACAATATGAATCGAAAACTCCTTACTAGTTAGTTAAATTTCTGTAACTATCCAACCCTTAAACAACAAAGTAGAGCTCCTGTATTTTCTCATTTACAAGTCTAATTACAGGAAGCCCTAATAGCAGGTAACTTAATACGAATTAAGAATATCCCTTTTCAATTTTCATCATTCCAATACCTATTAAAGATGAATTTCAAGAGAAATTCTAGTTCCAAAACTTTCAATATCTTCATTGGAATGGAACTAGATCCCTCCACCCCCCCCCCTCCCCCTCCTCCACTTCTAAAAACTGGTTGGCTAAATTAAAGAATCTGGAAAAATTCATAATAATTTATGAACTTTCAAGGAAAACTATGATGGTTGATAGATCAGTTAGTTTAAAGAGTAATAATAGTCGTTTAACTCATGTATTATAAAATAACTTACTTACCTAATAAAAAATCCTTAGAAGAAAATATTGAATGAAGTAATTGCTTGCTTCTGAAATATATTGTGTTAACGACGGACAACTACGGAACCCTACACTGCGCGTAGCACGACACGCACTTGGACAATTTTATTCTAAGAATTCTAGCCCTTACCACCACCTAATAAGTTCCAATTTTTCAGGAAACTGTCAAGGTCCTGTGCTGGCTACGGTCTCTTCCAGAAGACGACAAGTCGATCAGCGAGGAGGTGGACAGGCTCATCATAGAACAGACCACCAGCGAGCTGAAGTTCTCTCCAAGATTGTTGTGTAAGTTATAAAGTCTTAATTCTCACTACTGAAACGTCCAAGGAAACGTAGCCTCTCACTATAGGCCTTATACAGAAGCTCAAAGTTGTACAGCGTGTTATGGAGAGGGCTATGCTCGGTGTTTCTTTACGAGATCGGATCAGAATGCCCGACGGATTAGCAAGCTGAAGTGGCAATGGGCAGGGCACATGGTACTCAGAATTGACGGCCGATGGGGCAGCAAGGTTCTGGAATGGAGGCCGCGTACCGGAAAACGCAGCGTAGGACGTCCACCACAACGTGGACCGACGACATCATAAAGGTAGCAGGGAAGCGCTGGACGCAGGCCGCTACCAATCGATCAACATGGAAAGTATTAAAATAAAAAAATTAAAAAATCATAAAATTCATTTATTTTTGCAAATAGGCTTTAAAAAAGCGCTTTTACACGTCCCAATATTAACCCTACCACTGCTTCGGGAGAATACTTAAATGGGCCAGTGCTGAGAAGAAGCAGCGCAAGAAACTGTAGAAAATTGGGGTAAGTACCTACCTAGGCAGTGCAGGCAGGCAGTGGACATCCTATGGCTGAAACGATAATGATGAATTCACACTACTATAGGATTTGGCAACATACAAACACTTTTAAAAAGGTAAAAACGTATTGACCTTCCCGACGTTTCGAATCGGCACGGGTCTTGGTATACAACTAAAGTCTTTTTCAGCGTTCTTAAAGGCAACTTTTTACCCGTGAAAACTGTATCAGGCAGACTTTAAGTTATTGTACATCGAAATATCTCTAAAATCAGTCTCCTTTCCAAAAACCTTTGAAATCTCAAAATTTTGCCTCGCGTACACGCGTACTTAGAATATCAAAAGTACCCGTCTGCGCCAGAAGAATGGATGAAGGGTATGTTTTTTAAGTTTAGTTATTCATAAACCAACATAAACTTACGTTCAACTTGTGCTAATGCCAACAACAAAGTTATTCAAGTCCTGAAACTTTTATTTCAATTCACCCTCTTTCTTTGAATTTAGGTAAAAGAGCAAAAGAATAAGCCCAAAAGTCCTTGTTGAACTTTCTGTACCATTACCATCCATTATGAACCAAATAACAAGATGTATTGTAAATCATACGTAGTTAGCTAGTTTTCTAGAAAACCAATTTGAATTCAATTGTGGTCAATATCACCGACAATAACAGTCCAAACGATAAAAATGGCAAACAAATTTATTGTAACAATTGCTTAATTTCCACGTCGTGTCCTTGGAACTGGGTCTCAATTATTTTCAATTGTAATTCGTTTGTTGGGTGTCATATGGCACCCGGGGATCAATTGACGGGGGTTCAAATAGTAGATCAAGCCTGCCAATTGACCCGTGTGTTTTTGTTTTCTCATTGCACGTGAATGAGTTTTAAGTAGCACAATAGACTAGTCATCGATGTAGGAACTTGTTATGTCTGATCAAAGTCCGATGTAAGAAATGTGATGACTATTTCTATTTTACTTTTTTGCTACGACTTTGTTCGTCGTGAGCTCCAAAGTCCAAGCTAAAAACTCTTCCAGACGTGAGAAATCACATTTCATGATGAGACAGACAGACAGAACCTACCTACGAATATAACAGATAGAAATTTTCTCATACTGAGCCTCGTGTTCCCGAAGTTAGATGAAAGTAATTGAAATAATTCCTTCTGGCGCAGTTGGCTAATAACTGGAAATCGAGTAGGTAGTTAATTGGTTTTAACTCAGCAATTTAATTTGTTTCATTAATAATAGGTAGGTATACGTAGTTAGTTACTTCCGTGATTGGTTCAAAGTAATTTAATACAAGATCCCAATATCTCAAATAATGATAACGGTATGAACGTACCTAATATTATTATGTAGGTAACAAATTAATCAAGTTCAAGCATAAATCCTTGCAAATTTATTGTACGAGTATTAGGGCTAACCCAATGTTACACTTTTAGCAATTTGGTAGACTTCGGGCGCTGATCGAAGATTCTCAAAATTGAAGCATATTTGCTACAGCCACAGAACAATTTTATCTTGAAGATGCTTTATTTACACTGCCAAATTCACGTTTCTTCATGACTAAAAGGCTTATGAGAGTTAATGAGCTTGTCTTTTCATCAAAATCTCATCCATCAATTTCCACAACCTTTTGTTTATAATATTACACGACGTGTAGTTTCTCTAATAAACCCTTTCTCTTACAGTCTCTGACAAAACCACAGTCAAAGCCTTCTGGGTGGCGCTGATAGTGAATCTTACTCGAGAGTTCTGCGGCTGCATCGCTGTCTTAGTCTACGCCAGCCACATCTTCGCTGAAGCTGGAAAAGATCCTAACACCAGCATCGCCCTGTCGCCCAACAAGCAGTCGATTCTGCTCGCTGCTGTCCAGATCTTTGGGTCGTTTTTGGCGTGCCAGCTTGTGGACAGAGCTGGAAGGAAGGTAAATATGATTTTTGTTTGAATAACTCGCTGCTGTCTTGATCTTAAGGTTAATTTTGGCGTGCCAGCTAGTAAATCGAGCTGGAAGGAAGGTCAAACAGTCCTAGCTCCTGCTGCCCAGATCTTTAGGTCCTTTTTAGAGTGTCAGTTAATGCATTGATAAGTATTGGTCTACGGCATTCACATCTTAGCTGAAGCTGGCAAGGTTCCTAACCTAACACCAGCATTGCATTGTCGCCCAACAAGCAGTCAATCCTGCTCGCTGCTGTCCAGATCTTTGAGGCTTTTTCGCGTGGTACTTAGTCCTTAATATTTTTTATGCATGACAAGGCAGGTATATGATCGCAATCGCACCTGGTGTTAAGTGAGATACAGTCTAGGATGATACACATCTGCCCTGTAAGTAAGTTCCTATTCACTTTCGCCTTGAAAAGACCCGGATTTTAGTATTTCCGTGTTAGTGTTCAGGAAACGGGACTATTCCCACCTCTCGTTCCCACCACTGCAACTCCTGTGTAGCCAGGATCTACAGCTTGACCGCCAGAAACCCAACCAATGAAGGTCAAGTTTGTCCCGGGGAAAGTTAAACTGTCATTGGACCCGCAACGAAATTAATCAGAAGAACATAGGAGGAGTTCGAAATTAAGGTTCGACTTCCCTCCATTGCAAAGCGGATGACAGGTGACAAACAAAGGTTTAAAACGTTTAAGAAAAAAATTATGCACCACGGACAATAATATGAGCAATTAGCAACTACTAGTGTTCAGGAAAGATAGCAGCAGGCAGCGAATACCAGTCCCTAGCTGTTCGCATTATAAAAGAGTTATCGAAACTGGTGCTGGTGGAATGTCCAATTTCACTCTCTTACCACATGACTAATAAATGTGCTCGAGATATACCTAGTTAAACAAGTCAAATGATACAAATAGGGGATTAAACACTCCTTGATCTATGTAACTTAATTCTTAATGAAAACCCCGACTTATTCGGATTATCTAATTAAAGTTTCATGCCCACGTAATTCTGAAAGTGGGAATACTAAATTGACTTCAAAGCAAAGTTAACAGTCATAATATGTTATGTAATATAAAACGAGTGACAATTACAGGTCTATGTTTGATTATATGGTGCCAGGCAGATTTTGTCTTGTCACTCTATTATTAGTAGTTTGGATGGCCTTCTAGAAACTATGTGGCTCTAATTTTTTTTGCTATCTATCAACCCAACCATATTGCGGTCTAGAAAAGTTCTTGTTGGTAAATAAACGATGCTGTTTCTGCTTCGATATTACCTATCGGCTTTCATAGTCATTAATTTATATTGTTTGATAAAACAATATAAGAGTCATCTTTTATTGGTGATCTGAATTACTGAAAGAAAAAGTCGACAATTTCATAGTTTTTTCTGTGGTGTTTAAGAACTCTAATTTTCCGGTCAGTGTTTACAAAAACGATACAAATTTGAGTTTCTACACGAGCATAGTTTCTATCTTCGGAAAACAAAATCGGGAATAATAATGAAAAGCCATAAAAAAGTATGCTAAGAAACTAAAATACTTCAATTGCAACCTCTACTAGCAGTAACAGGCCAAGGTAGTAAGAAGCCAGTTTCGGAAAGTGAAACAATGAGGGTTTTCGCGAATGAAAAATCCGCCAGATATAGATGACCCAAGCTGAACTGTCCCACCAAACTCAATGACAGGGGGGCGCTACCATCGTTCAACTATATGGTTTCCAACATGGCAAAAATCGGAACCAGCGATCCGGTATAGACGGTGGCGCCCCACTGTCAATGTCATGCATAGGACAGTTCAGTATTTTGGAACTATACGTAGACGCGAGGTCCAAATGCTGCATGATTGGTTATTTTTGACATGACATTGACAGATATGTCAAAATCCACCAATCACGCAGCAGTCAAACCCCACATCCGCGTCCCGCCATCTAGCGGATCTTTCATCCGCGAAAACCCTCATTGCAACCTATACCTACTAGCAGTGACAAGCCAAGGTAGTAAGAAGCCAGCTTCGTAAAGTAAAAAAAAGACAATTTAAACCCAAAATAAAATGCCGTCAAAGTGCTCTTAGAATGAACTTAAAAGAACTTTTGAAGGTTCGAAGGCAAGATGAAGAAATACATTATATTTTGCTTCCTATTTTTGCAGCCTCTGCTAGCAGTTACAAGCGTAGTGGCCGGCTTCAGCATGTGCCTCCTGGGCGCGTGGTTCTACCTGCAGAGCGTGGGCGTGGCCATGCCAGGGTGGGTGCCCATCGTGGCGTTATGCGTGTGCATATTCGCTGATGCGTCAGGCCTACAGCCCCTGCCGTTCGTGATAATGACTGAGATGTTCAATTTCCAGGTAAGGACCTTGGTGTTAGAAAATGTTTTAGTATTTTTTTTAAGATTATTAGTAACAACTAGTTAGCTTTCCGCCCGCGGCTTGGAATTTTGTCTGTCACAGAAAAACTTTATCGCGCGCGTCCCTGTTTAGAAAACCGGGATAAAAACTATCCTATGTCCTTTCCCGGGACTCAAACTATCTCTATGCCAAATTTCATCAAAATCGGTTCATTGGTTTAGGCGTGAAAGCAAGACAGACAGAGTTACTTTCGTATTTTTAATATTAGTACCTATAGATAGTATGGATTCCCATGTTGCCCGGTTGGTAGCGGCCTGCGTCCAGCGCATTCCTGCCACCTTTATGATGTTGTCGGTCCACCTTGTGGATGAACGTCCCACGCTGCGTTTTCCGGTACGCGGCCTCCACTCCAGAAACTTGCTGCCCCATCGGCCATTGGGGGAGGCCTATGTTCAGCAGTGGACGTCCTATAGCTGAGATGATGATGATGATGATAATAGTGCCGTTAGCCCCTCGTACTAAGCTAAATTATGATTGTATCAAGAGTGAGCTTACCACAATAATCGAGCGGCGGCGGGGACCGAACCCGCGTTCCCCTGATCACGAGTCGGCTAGTCCGACCCCTTCACCGTTCGGCTGTCGTGGTTCTTTGGTCCACTTCCCATTTAGTTGAGCATACCTGCCTCCACAACCCGTTTGGCTAGCGTGGGTTGTGTAGACAGTCCATGACCGTGCATATTCCGTGCAACTGGTATTAGAGAGGGAGGGGACGTTCACGTACCTATACCTGCAGTGGAGGCAAAATGATGATCGTGGGTTCAATTCCCGCCTTAGGCAGTTCGATTTTTTCAAGTTATTTATAATTTTCAAAAAGATGATCATCTGATGATGTGATGATAATATGGAGAATTTGATTAAATTGCGTAGTTTGCTTTAGCTGATGCAGGGGTATACTTCAGCTGGAAAGTAGTTCTATGTTTTTTACTTACCCTATTCTTCTTTTCCAGCTCCGAGGAACGGTAGCCACACTGATCATGGCCATATCCCTTGGCACAGACTTCGCTCTGCTCAAACTCTTCGCACCCCTCAACTCTTGGATTGGATACCATTCCACCTTCTGGATGTTCAGTGTCATATGTCTTTCGAACGTCTTCTACCTTATTTTCTGCGTGCCAGAAACTAAGATGAGGAGTCTAGAGGATATTTATGCAGACTTGGAGGGAAAGAAGAGAGAAAAGAAAGGGGAGGATGTGGTGGAAATCAATCATGTGTGAATAGGACTTTGGAAGTCTAATGGATTTAATTGGGGGTTAATAAAGACGAATGTCCTGTGAAGAATACATTCTGTGAATTATAATCGTGGCTGATAAAAGACAATAATGTTAAGATTGTGAATGCTAAAATACTGAGGGCTATAAAGTACTAAATACTATACAGGGTGTTAGGTAAATGGGTATATGAGCCGACACTAGCCCATGTTAACATGGTCATATAAATGGTATGGTGAAGTCAGAAAATTGATATCTTCATTTTAATTATTTTAATTTTCATACAAATCCGATTTAATAAAATTTATTTTGTACTAGCTTTCCGCCCGCGGCTTCGCCCGCGTGGAATTTTGTCTGTCACAGAAAAACTTTATCGCGCGCGTCCCTGTTTCAAAAACCGGGATAAAAACTATCCTATGTTCTTTCCCGGGACTCAAACTATCTCTATGCCAAATTTCATCAAAATCGGTTGCGAGGTTTAAGCGGGAAAGCGTAACAGACAGACAGACAGACAGACAGACAGACAGAGTTACTTTTACATTTATAATATTTAGAGATGAAACGGATATCCGGTAACTATCCGGTAGGCCGGATATCCGGCCTAAATTTACTATCCGGCCGGATACCGGATAGTAACTCACTATCCGGCCGGATACCGGATATTTAAAAAAATCGACATTTTCCTATAATTAATTGAAATACATTAATCTTTGAGGTAAATATCAATAAAATGGCTTATAATAATGACGGCTTTTATTTAAAGTCCAAAAAGTTACAAAAAAGCCAAATTAAGACCTTTCAAAAAACTAATTTCTTTTTCTGGGCTAATCACTCTATACATAAATAGTAAACATCTGTTAATGTCGAAATATTGCCAAATAAACAAGGTGATCTTTTTACCCGACTGCGCCAGAAGGAGGGTTATGTTTTTCGAGTGTATGTATGTATGTACCTATATTTCTTTGGCACGGCCTACAGCCTAAACGGCTTGACCGATTTTAGCGTGAGAGGTGTCGTTAGATTCGTCTTAATTGTGAGAGTGACACTGGCTATATTAAATTTGAAAAAAAAAATCAAAATGGCGGATTTAAGGCGCCATAATATTTTATCTTAAAAAAAAATTTTTCTCAAAAACTATCGAGTGTAGTATCAAAATAAAGGGCTTTTTAAGTAGCTTACAAACATATATGTTATTTAACTAAAAATATTAAAATAAAATTACAAATACATATTACCCACAAAAGAATTAGTCATTGATGCCTCCGACTGCATTTGTGAACACTAAGGCTTGTTTTTATGTTTTTAGTTCATTTTTACGCAGTGAGGGTTTTCGCGTATGAAAGATCCGCTAGATGGCGGGACGTGGATGTGGGGTCTGACTGCTGCGTGATTGGTAGATTTTGAAATATCTGTCAATGTCATGTCAAAAATAACCAATCATGCAGCATTTGAACCTCGCGTCTACGTATTGACATCTGGCGGATTTTTCATACGCGAAAACCCTCGTTGGGTTTTTTGTTTATTCAATAATTTTCACTGATGGTCTGGTGGTGATGGTCTGACATGATGCATGCAGTTCAGTCAGATTACGCAGCAAGTAAACTAATTTAATTTTCTCTATTCAATCACACACTCACTATAGTAACCGAAATCACCCGAATTGATCTGCCCCTAGACAAGTGGCAAAATCTGACATTCTATTCGGACGGATTCGATTTTCGAAAAGTGTGACTAGTCAAGCAAGTCTACTAATAGACCCACTGATCGCGTTCGAAGCACACGTGCGGCGCTAAACTCGTCACGACATGCAACGAGACAATGGGCCAACTATCCGGCCGCCGGATATCCGGCTATCCGGCCTAGCAGCTGGCCGGATATCCGGTATCCGGTATCCGGCCAAACAACTATCCGTTTCATCACTAGTTACTTTCGCATTTATAATATTAGTTGGGATGAAAATTAAAAATATTAAAATGATGATATCAAATTTCTGACTTCACCATACCATTTATATGACCATGTTAACATGGGCTAGTGTCGGCTCATATACCCATTTACCTAACACCCTGTAAAGACCAATGTCGCCAATATTCGGTATGTCCTAAATTTTGGCCACAGGGACACAGTATTACTTGGCATCGACGTTTGAATATTTTTTACTAAATTGTCACATTGGTCATAAAATCGTGTGACTAGTCATAAAAATCTAAATTTCATCTCAAAATATACACAAACTGAAGACTAATTTAAAAAATACATTTCAACACTAAACGAAACTTAAAAATAAGTGTCACGAGTGCCACGTGTAAGTGTAAATAAATATGTGACTAAAAACCTTAATTATACGTTTAATTATGAATTATCAATTCAATGTGTATAAAGTAGTAGGCAGCTTACTATTCATAATAATAAAATTGCAGAATAGAAACGTATGGAATCATTTGCAGGAAATGCAAATATTTAGCTGGTATGAATAGAAGTTACATTCCACGATGCCATGTTATTTAATGAATATAAAAATGTTTTTGGATATTTTATTCATCTAGTCACCACACGTGCAATGTTACTTACACACAAATCTCACATTTTGGAAATATCCAAGAACATTTTACTATACTTACGATTACGAGCCAAAGTATGGAATCACCCTAATGATTTTGTTCCAAGCTATTTAACTGGTACCAATTTTCATTTAATCTTTAGTCATTTAGTTCTAAAGATCACTCAATAGGGTGATTCTATACTTTTGCTCGCGAGTTTAGTTTTAGAAAATTTCATACAATAAATTGTGGATACGCTTCATAAGACCCTATTGCTAATAAATCCTATACCTACTTTAAAACTTTAAAAGTAATAGGCTTAGCATAATACAAATTATGAATGCTTTCTTATTACATTACCCAAAATAGGTACTCAGGAACTTTTCCAACTTGGAACAACGACAGTTCCAAACAAAAAATCTCTTGCCCAAAACTTATTTAGGGCACAGATAAACTAGAAGTTTTTTTCGTCAAATTTTTTCAATAGAAAAAGTTGTATTTTGCAAACCCTTAATAATGAAATGTATGTTTATAAAACTTGAATTATAAAAATATTCAAAAATCCTTAGCTTAATTTTACTTTCTATACATTAACAGTTGATATATTTTTATCATTGAAGTTTTAATAAGTTTTCACGTTTTTTATTTTCATAATATGTATGAATTTATGTGTGTGAAAACAATCATTTTAATTCGTATTTAGATCAATTTTTACTTTTGTATGTAATGTGTTTTAGAATAAAACTGTATAAAGTAGTTTTTAACGTGTACATAGTAAAATAAGGTAGTTATCAGGGAAGCTTTTTGTGATAAATAAATATTTAAATGTGTAAATATGTTTTTTTATTTATTCACCAAAGGGTTAAGAAAAAATAAAACAAGCAAATGACTTTTCGAAGATTTACTTATTTTAATAAATAACCAGCTTAGTTTACAAAAGCATTTTTTTTTTTCGTTTTTCGTCATTTTATTAGAAAATATCATTTGAAACTAACTCACGAGTGATATTATAACATTATTGCCAATAGTTTATCATTTGAGTGTTTTTTTCAACAATGATTTTTACTCTTGGTAAAAAATATGTTCCCTTAGGGGTGACTCCACGATACTTATATAAAAAGACTAGGTACAGACAACAATGGTTTATATTTATACATTAAAATCTGGAAGATTGGTGATACGTCCAAATGCCAACGTTCATAATTATTTATATTATTAACTCAAATTACTAAGACCCCGCCTACAAAACTATGAATCTCGTTAAAAGTCAGCATTTGAACCAGAGTTCAGTCAATCGCAGAACCAAATAATTTTCAATATACCTCTAAAACAGTACTTTAACTGACAACATGTAAAGGCATTTTCAAATTGGCAACTAAGTGCTACATTCGCTCTGCAGCGTTATGAAAATACCTTAAGTACAATCTTAAAATTATTCTTGACTGATAAGAACTTTTAACCTAGTGGTGCACTATCCTATGTGAATATCCCAAGTGGGATGAAATAGAACCCCGAATTGGGACGAAAAAGGATCCTTACCGGGTTGAAAAGGGAGGAAATTGAGTAAATTATATCGTTAATTGCCTATTATTTCTAAATATTATTTTAGTGATAAAAACACTGTGATTTTCTCCATATACTATTTGGTTACATGTATTACAAAGTATAAAAATAAATATGTATAAAATTGCATGATATAACATTATATGTACCTTTTCCAGCAATAAACAATTTGTATTACCCATCTTGCTCACACACTTCAGCTATAAGTATCGAGTAAGCGAGAGACAAATAATTATATAGCTTCCGGACGGTCTATTGTATATCCTACACATATCCAAGTACATAATTATTTAATTATTGTTCATAATATACTCTATTTTAAATCGAATCAGAAAATTGACATCTCACCATTTTAAATTGGTCAAAACATGATTATAGTTCCAAAATACTGAACTGTCCTATCCATGACATTGACAGCGGGGCGCCACCGTCAATACCGGATCGCTGATTCCGGTTTTTGCCATGTTGGAAACCACAGGAAACCATATAGTTGAACGATGGTAGCGCCCCCCTGTCATTGAGTTTGGTGGGACAGTTCAGCGTGGGTCATCTATATGTCGATCACCAGTGAATTTGGTTGTAGTCTATGGATGACAAGACAGTTTTCAACTCGAATATAAGTATTGTCGAGACCGATTTGGTTCTACGATTGGCGTATAGCCCTCAATTCGACCAGCGATCGGGCGAGTCTCATATAAAATAACTAGCAATTACGATGCAAAACGTTTAAATTATACCAAATTGACATTACAGAAGTCAATTTAAGAGTCCGTTAGGATAATTTTGAGAGGCGATTGAATGTTTACGAAATATACACCAAATAAATGTACTTAAATTGTACTAAATGGTACCTAATCTTACTATTAGGTACAGTTTTCGTACAATTAATTGTTATACATTTCATAACCACTTTAGGTTATCCTAAAAGAGTCTACTTGACTACTTGAGTCGACTGTACGCTCTGATCACTAGTCATTGTCTGTGCACGGGCTACTAGTCTAAAGCTACGACTTTGCCCATTTCAACGTATTAGTGCCTTTTACCTGTGGTGCGGTTTTCGACACGGGTGATCGAATCTGGTACGCATGGGGCTACCCACATTTCATTATTTCATACATATTTTTCCTATTACGCGAGCTAACACGCACGCAATTAGCAGCGTGATTATACATCGTGTCCCAAAATTGAACGAAAAGACGGCGCTTATTTTTTGCTACTTTAGGAAAAATAAGAAAAAAAATCTATCTTAATTTTTTTCAATACTTTTCCTACAGTTTAGGAAAACTTACTAAGTTAAACTTTAGGAAAAGTAAGAAAATAATCTATCTTAATTTTTTTTCTATCCCTAAAGTAGTCATGACCATGTCCACCCTTTGGCACAACGATAAGTTGAATTTCGGGACACGATGTCGCACGACGACGCACGCCACAGATTAGAAATACCAAATCCGCATCACAGAAAAAAGGCACTTATTGTGACTGAATCCCGATTCTGTTCGAAATATAAATAAAATGAGCGACAGAATCGGGTCCTATAGCGCTAAAACAAGCAAAGCCATAAAACTATGGTGCATTATTTTTAATCAATAAAAAGCCTACGAGATTATCGTAACGTCCACTATAACTACGGTTTTGTATAATTGTGGCCAATAAAACTCATACAGACACGAGATATTAAAATATAATATAGCAGCACACCGATCGTACATATTTTCGCTTTGTAGTGTCGTCTCTGTCTTACACTATGAGGATGACAAAGACAAAACTACGAAATGAAAGTTCGTCCAACAAGTCATGTGTTTAAATTGTCGAGGAATAGGAAGAAGTGGCATAAAATTTTCGCATAACTTAAAAATAGCCTTTTAATAAGTCCATAAAAATATTTTTTAAGATGTGTTCACATTGTAACGTTGAGTGTAAGTGATGTCACGTACTAATGTGAATCTATCTTTAGAGGGGTTTTTCAAAAGTTGATAGTTTCACTTTGATGTTTTAAATTGTAACTTAATAAATGTTGAATTATATGCAGCTGAAATAAAAACCGCACAAGATTTTCTCGAGAGGAAGTTTTTAAAAATACGTAGGTATTTTCAGATTTTTCACAAAAAGTGGAGTTACCAACTTTCGAAAAGCGCCTCCTTAATACATATTTTATTGCCATAAAGTGTCTAATTTACGTATAATGATCAAGTTCAGTGTTGCTAGTTACCATTTACACAAACATCATATTATTATTTAAAACAAGTTTCGATGTGGAAATTGAGTTAGAAAACTCGTTAAAAATCGTCAGTATGACAACATTGAGACATAATACACTTTTTTTTTGTTATTTTTATGAATTTTCTCATTTTTATACGCATCCGATAACAAAGATCACATCACAAAATTTCATACGTAAACATTTACTAAGGGAATTTTAAAAATAATAACAAATTAAAACATTACCCTCACTTAGAGCGGTCGGGTAAGGTTCGACACACTAAGCACTGAGATCCGATACTACAGACGGAAGGCAATTTAAACTATACTATTTTTTGTATAAAAAATTTACACAACATTTTCTATCGTACCAAATATTAGTCTAATAGAAAATACACATTTCCTAAATATGCTAACCAAATTCGATACAAACCGTTTACCCACAATATGTGATTTGATTGACATAGCAATTAAAATTGGTGTTGCTACCTATGTTTATTTACAAGTATTTGTTAAAAAATTAATGTAGGGATGTAATTTTATGTATTTCTTTTAATTTAAAAGAGTGCTTAAAGAGAATTTTAAGTGGAAATTCGTAAAAAATCTTATAGAAAATCCATATGGGGCGTATTATTATTATGGTTTTACGCAGCTGTTATTATATGTCTGGAGCCTAACATAGTCAGTGCCTAAACGTTAGCGAGACGGAACGGCGGACGTTCGTTTGGGGAACGGCACGGGAGAGATGAAATTGACATTGACGCGACAGAGCATTCAAATCTGAAGATCTGAAGTCACGCTCGGATCTGAAACGTGGTCGCTTACTATGGGCCTCATAAGAAGGCTCAAGGTCACCCAAAGGGCGATGGAGCGGGCTATGCTCGGAGTTTCCCTGCGTGATCGAATCAGAAATGAGGAGATCCGCAGGAGAACCAGAGTGACTGACATAGCCCGCAGAATCGCTAAAATCAAGTGGCAGTGGGCGGGGCACATAGCTCGTAGAGCTGACGGCCGCTGGGGCAGGAAAGTTTTTGAGTGGCGACCACGAGCCGGAAGACGTAGCGTAGGCAGGCCTCCCACTAGGTGGACTGACGATCTGGTGAAGGTCGCGGAAGGCGCCTGGATGCGAGCGGCGCAGGACCGGTCTTTGTGTAAATCCTTGGGGGAAGCCTTTGTCCAGCAGTGGACGTCTTTCGGCTGAAACGAACGAACGAACGAAGTCTCGCTAACGTTTGACGTCACAAAAACACCCTTCCGTGCCGCTGCTATTCCTCAGGCACTGACTGTTAAGTGCTAGCCCTATAGTATAAATTGATTATTTTTGTAATTAATTCAGAACGACTGATAAAAATTACTAGTTTTTTGTTCATATTAAACCAACTTCTTCACAATAATAAAGCATTTGTGTAGGCCATGTTATTATTTATTTTGATATACGCCCATTACAAGACCACTTTTAGTAAATTCTTCAATATTAACATAATTACAGTAATGAGGGTTTCCGCGAATGAAAGATCCGCTAGATGGCGGGACGTGGATGTGGGGTCTGACTGCTTCGTGATTGGTGGATTTTGACATATCTGTCAATGTCATGTCAAAAATAACCAATCATGCAGCATTTGGACCTCGCGTCTACGTATTGCCATCTGGCGAATTTTTCATTCGCGAAAACCCTCATTATTTTAATTCGCGGTCAAAGTATACAACGATGAGTTTTAAATAATTGAGAAATAAAACTTCATGAAGATTTTGGATTCTAACTAATTAACTACCTTATTATTTAGGGATAAAAATATAGAAAGAGGAGCTAAAGATAACAATTTATATTATACGACAGATATTTATATATTTTATACATTACATTATTTTATTTAGATTAGAATCAATTTGATCCTTACAATTTAGAAATATAAACGATGGGCCGATGTTTTTTCTATTGTTAAAATTTAATTTAGTAATTAGTGAATTTGGAAAACTATTTTTACTTATGGCAACACACATCGACAGTACTCTATGGTTAGTTCATAATATATTGTCACAGATTATATTCAGCCCATCATATAGAACACAGCCCTAAGTGATTATGAACAGTGATTATAAATCTAGTTTAGTGCGACGGTCACACTTCAAAACAATAAAGCTTCGACCGAACCAACGCGTGCAGATAGCCATCGCCGATGCAATCATAGGCCAATGACAGGACACGCGATTAATGACAGGACGCGCGACCAATGACAGGACAAGCGACCAATGACAGGACGCGCGACTGAGGAAAGGATGCGCGACCAATGACAGGACGCGTGACCAATGACAGGACGTGCGACCAATGACAGGACACGCGATTAATGACAGGACGCGCGACTAATGACAGGACAAGCGACCAATGACAGGACGCGCGACCAATGACAACACGCGCGACCTGTCATTGGCCTATGATCGCTTCGGCATGGTGATCTGTACGCTTTGTTTTGGTTGAAACATAACACTTAAGACTTAAGGAAAATTTTTAAGTGGAGAAACCATAGACAAACGCCTTTTTGTCAACCCTGTCTTTTATCAACAATAAACTAAATTAAACTAAGGATTGAAATAAACGAAACAATTTAGTGAAAGAGTATCAGGCAGGAAGTATTTTATGAAAAATAAATCATTTTTTTTTAAATTGAAGTTCCATAAATCAACTAGTATTTTAAATAAGCAGTTCCATAGACAATCCCTAGATCTACTTGGTGAAGCTTTTAATCAAAAGCTGTACCGGTCTAGATCTCATAGACGCTTCGCGGTGAATCCACGAGCGTTTTCCTTGCTTTCAGCAGTAATTCAATCAAAATGGAACCTTTGTATTGCTACAAATATAAATCAATAGTATTTTATGAAGTTAAGCCTTGTCAAATATGTAATTTGAGAGAGATGTGACTTGTGCATACTTAGAAATAGTATGTAGAAAAATATTAGGTGTTTGAGGATAATTTTTTGCTTGGTCTAAAGAACAATAGAAAAAGTGTAATCTGCTGTCCAGCAGATAAAAATGTGTTAGCAGATTCGTGTCATACATAAATTCATGAATGTTACAAAGATGGCGCCCTTAAACGGTGGCCAGTCAAGTAAATACAATGATGACACTTGATTATTGTCACAAACAAATGACACATAATTAATGTTCACAAATATGTCAAACATGTGTTCACAAACATGTCAAACATGTTCACAAATATTTCACACATGTGTTCACAAATAAGTCACACATGTTCACAAATATGTCACACATGTTCACAAATACTTCACACATGTGTTCACAAATATGTCACACATGTATTCACAAATATGTCACACATGTGTTCACAAATATGTCACACATGTTCACAAATACTTCACACATGTGTTCACAAATATGTCACACATGTATTCACAAATACGTCACAATGTGTTCACAAATATGTTGCACTTTTAATTTTAATACACAGATGGCGCCTCTAGTACAGTGGCTAGTCAAATAAATACGAAACTGCAGAAAATTTATTAAAAATCATCCGTAAAATAAACATTAGCAACGTAACCGAAAATCAAATCAAATCGTCAATATCTAGAAAAGTGTGACCGTCCTAGTAATAAATTACCTTCCGCTATAGTATTTAGCCTTGTAGCACTCGAGGTACTTTATCCTTACCAGTCAGGCATCCGTCGATATGCTCTCCTGCTCAGCCTCCTGGCTTTCTCTTTCCTGTTTCCTCTCTTCCGGTTCTTCTGTCCTCTCCTCTTTCTGTTCTGAGGGTCTGGAGTCGGTGGAAATGGAGCTGGAAGTTAGGCTGTTGGGTTGTGATGACTCTTTGCTCTGGGGCTCTTGTGAGCTGCGGTTCTCTGTGCTTTTTTCTTTTGAATCTGTGGATATAAGGATTTTTTGAGATTAATAAAGTCTATTGTAGTTATTTAATTTTTAGCGTTAAGAGTCGCATCTCAAACTAATTTGAAAATTACAAATAACTTGAAAAAATCGAACTGCCTAAGGCGGGAATCGAACCCACGACCTTAGGCAGTTAGATTTTTTCAAGTTATTTATAAAGTCTATTGTAGTTGATAGTCAGCATGAAGTAGTTCTTGGCACCCAAAGTAGCCAAAAAGTTCGCAACACGTCTTTGTTACAATTAAAATGAGGTTGTGTGTCAACTTTTTGAACACTTTGGGTGTCACGAACTATTTGATGCTGACTGTACCACTGGCGAGTAAGATGTGACAGTAGTGAACGCTAAATCTTAATCTATTTTACCTTAACCATCGATTTCTTACCCCATAACTAAAAAAAATATTTCCAACTAAATGATATTCTAAGCTATTTCTAAACATGCACTTGCATTTGCGTCAATGTGAAAACCTTAACACTTTGATATAAGGCTCATAATCGTATGATCCAAATCAATTTATCTACCATCTTAAAATGGAAACTGAATTCACAGCTTGATGAAAACGAAAATCAAAGTATAAACCATACACATGCGACTAAATGAAAATAATTGGATGATTACTACAAATGACATTCTATACTCTGGTCGCTGGGCACGTAGAATTTTGTCCGATGACCCCAAGCTACCTATCCTTATCGCTCGCGCGTAATTATATTGCTGTCGCGACTGTGCGACGGCCGCCCGCAGTGAGTGTGCGAGCGCGACATCAATATAATTACGCGCGAACGATAAGGATGGGTAGCTTGGGGTCATTGGACAAAATTCTACGTGCTCAACGACCATACTTTAAATGAACTCAACAAGAAAGTACTAACATAAAACAAAATAATGGTCAAACTTAAAGTGGGAAACTCCTTCCCATTGTTCTTATAACATAGTCTTCGACATTCTTCTCTATTTTCTAATTGTTGTTAATGCGGGAATTGAGCCACGCGTGCAGAGAAAGCTTCGCCCAGAGAAGATCTTTGGGAACAGAGGTGGTGTTAGGTAGGGTTAACATAAAGAGGTATATGGGCAGGTATACATTAAAATCGATATAACAAGTCAGTCAAAACATTTAAAACTCAAGAACGGCTGAGTTGATTTTGAGCTGTAGGCTTTTCTCTATTCGTTTCCAGCCCAAATAGCAGAATTTTAAAATATCAGACAAATTCATAAACATATTTTAAAAAATACAGCTTTATAGGAGTAGACTTTATGTCTATCTGAAATAATGTAGCCCTCACATAATCAGATATTGTTTTAAATAGGCAACATTTCAGAGATTAGTCTTTTCTTATGTACAAACTTATAAAATCAACGTTTTAACTGTGGAATAAAATTACAGTATGAAACTTTTATTACTAAGTCATCTATCTATCGTCTTGCAGTGGAAGGAAGCTTTTGAGTTGGGAAAAAACAATAAAAGGGGAAGTATAGGTATATTACTTGTAAGGATAAAATATGATGTAGGTACTTACCAGCGCCGTGTGTCGCGGGCCAAGGCTTTCTGACGAACATGTTTTCTACGATCCGGTCTATGTTGTCCTTTTCTGACGAGTTTACTGGCCTGAAAAACAAATTAAATTTTTTATTATACTTAGTGTAATCAACACACGCTAAAAGTCATGGCGGACAAGGCTAATTAAGATACAGAATTATCTATGCCTCCATGTCCACAAACAAGATGTCACTTTTGATGAAGTCCGATGGGTTGAGGAGACCTGATATAAGCACGTAGAATTTTGTCCAATGACCCCAAGCTGCCCATCCTTATCGCTCGCGCGTAATTATATTGCTGTCGCGACTGTGCGACGGGCGCCCGCAGTGGGTAGCTTGGGGTCATTGGACAAAATTCTACGTGCTCACGGACCAGGCTTTAGTCCTTATTCTGCTCTGTCAAGTTTCCCGTTGGTACATAGCGTTAAGAATACACAGTCATCGCTCACCGGTCGGGCGCGTGCGGGCGCACGATGGGTATGGCGGCGGTGGGGCGGCGCTGCGCGCGCGGCTGCGGCGCGGGCGGCTCCTGCTCCGCGCAGTTGTAGTACGTCACGCCCCCCGCTTGTGTGGCCTGAGGGAAAAACAATAATAAGTTTTCAACAATTTCCTTTTTTAACATTGCTTTACTTGAGCAATTCATAAGTAGAGGGAGCTTTAATACTGTAGTTAAGGGTATTTTCCCTTCAAGTGGCATCCACAGGGTGAATTTTGTAATGCCACTTCAACTACAGTATTTGAAATTACTCAAAGCAAACATTCCTTTATTTTTCAGAAGAAAAAGAACTGCATTCAAAAAATTAAAAAAGATTTCTTAGCTAGTTTGTTAGTTAAAAAAAAATACACAAAAAGGTCGATGTTATTTCATGAAGCGTAAAATTATACATAATTTCCCATCACCCAAGAACCCTTTTCAAGAAATCCAACGTTACTATTTGCATTAAAATTTTAGCCCACCCTGTATATTCTGTCACGTTGTATGTCACCTCTCCCATACCTCAGGCACTGACTCAGTTATAAAATTATCACTTCACGGAAAACTTTTATAACGGTAAACAAGATATTTATTTACCCTCCCGACGCGCGACGTTTCAACTCGGTTGCATGAGTCACGAGTTTTGTTGTGAAACCCCGTGAAGTGATAATTTTATAGTAAAAAAGCAACATAATAGTTTAATATACTGATTCGGTTAAACGCTAGACCTATTCATCATTTTTTTCAACATTTCAGCCACAGGACGTCCACTGCTGAACATAGGCCTCCCCCAATGACTTCCACATCGCACGGTTGGTAGCGGCCTGCATCCAGCGCCTTCCCGCTACCTTTATCAGGTCATCGGTCCACCTTGTGGGTGGACGTCCTACGCTGCGTTTTCCGGTACGTGGCCTCCATTCCAGAACCTTGCTGCCTCATCGGCCGTCAGTTCTGCGTACTATGTGCCCAGCCCACTGCCACTTCAGCTTGCTGATCCGTCGGGCTATGTCAGCGACTTTAGTTCGTTTACGGATCTCCTCATTTCTGATTCGATCTCGTAAAGAAACACCGAGCATAGCCCTCTCCATAGCACGCTGTGCAACTTTGAGCTTCTGTATAAGGCCTATAGTGAGGGGCCACATTTCCGAGCCATAAGTCATCACAGGTAACACACATTGGTTGTAGACTTTCGTCTTCAGGCACTGGGGTATTTTGGACGAAAAGATATTGCGTAGTTTCCCGAACGCTGCCCAGCCGAGTTGGATTCGACGATTGACCTCCTTCTCGAAATTGGACCTACTAGACCTATTACTAGATTATAATTATTATCAAACAGCGCCTTCTAAACAACTTTTCTCTAGTAGTTTTACTCACGTAGTTGTGGTGCTGGTGCGGGTAGAGCGGGTAGGGCGCGGGCGGCGGGAACATGGCCGCGCCGCCGAACACGCCGCTGTTGGCGCCGCCCACCGCGGGTTGCTGTTACAAGGAGGAAACTCATAAATACAAGCTTAAACATTATAAATAAAAACCGGTCGCCGAGCACATAGAAGCACATAGAATTTCGTCCCATGACCTCAAGCTACCCATCCTTATCGCTCGCACGTAATAGGCTAGTTTCCTAAAAAAATTTTTTTAGTCCGTCATGTTTAATATCAAAAAATATTGGACACATATATTTTTATTTGTCAATCTAACAAATAATTACATGGTTATGGTGCGTTGAAGTTCCGCACGACGTCACAACGTGCGGCACTTTTATGCACGCATTGACGTCACGAGCCTCTTCTTATGAACTTTGGCACGCTTTATCTCTTTAAATTTTCATTAGTTTGAAAAAGTGAAAAATACGTGTAGAGTATTTTTTGATAAGTTAACTAACTTAAACTACTACTACTACTACGACTAATTAAAACTCTTTGCATTTGACCCAGGAAAAATCCCTATTATATTGCTGTCGCGAGGGCGGCCGCAGTTAGTAAACTCTATTATCAGGCTGATGTCATTGTTTACTAATAAGGGTTTTACTCTACATGCAAAGAAAGGGGACAGGGGGCCGGTAAGATGAGCTGACTGACCCCCCATAAAAATCGTATGCTCCTGTATCTTATACTGTTTTCAAAGGGTGACCTAAAACCTTTAAGCAAGAATACTGACTTGCAGACCCCTAGGACAGAAACGGTACGTCTATGCTACCGTATTTGTACTCACTAATTGGTACCACTGGCCAGTGACAAGATACAGTTAATAGTAAGTAACACACTATCCATTATTATTTCATTTCCGGCGTAACAGCAAATAGTTGCGAACCCTGTCGTTATTTCTAAAATAATATGTAATAGAAATCGAACCATTGCAGTGCTGTTAACGTATTCGATTAAAACTCCTAGATATTGTAAAGATTTAAGCACTGATATTTACCTGCATATACTGTGCGGGCATCATTGCTGGCGGTGCGTAGGCTTGTGTTGGTTGGAGTTGTCCTGGAATTACAACATTTTCACAACATTATATTACAAGCAAACCAAGCTCAGTTCTACAGTGTATTCAATAAGCAGAACAACGTTTAGCGTAACCCACCAAAGCGTGATTTTGCCGATATAAAATTGCTAGTGATCGAGAGAGACTAATATTTTTTGTGCTGATTCCAATGCTCTCCATATTAACTCCAATAAGTCGTCCCATTGAAAAACAGTTCAAAATCAGTATTCCCAAGGGTCAATTTTGGTGCAGTCCTGTTGTCCCCCCTGCTTGGCCCCCCTTGGGGAGCCAACAGGATTTCGAAATCCTGTTGTCCCCCCTGGCTAGGGGAGACAACAGGACTGGATTTTTATTCAATGATTTGAGGACTGTTGTCCCCCCTGGCAAACATTGGGTATTTAAAAGCCATAATTAATTAATGAAAGTTAATTTATGAAAAACTGAAGTACCTACATACCTACTTGACTGAATGCCAAATTGCCAATCTGAACCTACCTTCGTTACGTTTGTCAAATAATAATTACCATTCTGATAGGTGATGGTCAAACTTGAAATTTGGCAGGTAGATTCCTTATAGGGTGTAGACATCCGCTAAGAACGCAATTTAATTGTTGAAGGATAGGAAATAATACGAAGGATACTTAAGGGGGTTAAACGGACTTCATGCGTACGAAGTCTCGGGTGGCCGCTAGTTGAATCACTGAGCAAGTAATTTGTTGAATATTATGACTAATTTAAAATTATGCAAATTTAGTAGAGTTGCCGCGAATAGTCGAATACCGATTAATCGCCATTCACTTTGGCGAATAGTCGAATAACTCGACATTACTATTCGACATAAAAATTATATAAAAATCTGACCAGTGATCAGTGGGAGGTTGTAGAACATCTGTTAAAGCTCTTAAAACCTTTCGAAGAGATAACAAAAATCACGAATTCCTCATATATGCACCTATATCAGATGTGATACCTAGCACTGTTTCATTAAGCAGATACCTTATGAAAGATACGCTGATTCAACAAACTGCACACGTTGATGATTTTAGAAAGGCGTTGATAGTAAATATGGAAGCCCGTTTTAACTTGGACGATCTATGCTTTAGGAAGACATATTACTTGTCGACATTTTTAGACCCCCGCTACTAGGACTTTTACTTTGTTACATATTACAAATAATAATTGATATTGTATAGTTTTATTAGGGAAAATAATAAAAATATGATTTAATTTTTAACTCATTAGTTTTTTCGTTCACTAAAAGTTTATTTTAGACGACTATTCGCCAAATATTCAGAAATAGTACCGGTACCAAAATCTTATATTTTTTTCGTTATCAAAATGTTAATTATTATTTGACATACGTTTAGGTATTCAGTTTGGCAATTTGGCATTCATTCAGGTACTCCAACTCCAGTCATTCTTAAATGTTATAAAAATATATGGCTTTTAAATAATGTTTGCCAGGGGGGACAACAGTCCTCAAATCATTGAATTAAAAATCCAGTCCTGTTGTCTCCCCTAGCCAGGGGGGCAACAGGATTTCGAAAACCTGTTGGCTCCCCCAGGGGGGCCAAGCAGGGGGGACAACAGGACTGCACCTCAATTTTATAGAATGATTACTCGATAAGTCGTCCCATTGAAAAACAGTTCTAAATCCGTATTCATAAGGGTCATTTCGATAGAACGATTACTCGATAGGATCGCATTCAGCGATTTGTTGTCGTTGAAGTTTTGTTACGTGAATGAGGCTACTGGTAGTTGCTTCAAGCAGTCCGTGAAGACAACCCATTATGTTACCCACCTAACACCATGTTAAAAACGAATAATAATTAATTCTATTATTCAATAAGGGCACTTTCAAATTAGGCGTTTTGAACCGGACGTTAAAATTCAGCCAAACCAACGCGATCACACGCGATCAGCCGGCGTGCAGTGATGGCGATCAATGCATTTAAGTCTGAGCGCCATCGCTGCACGCCGCCTCGCGTTGGTTTGGCTGAATCTTTAGTCGCCGTTTGCAGGACCGCACACGGAACATTGTATGACAACATCTTTGCAATGAAAATGACAATTACCAACAGTAACGGGACTTTTTTCACCTCTCGTTCCCACCGCTGCAACTCCTGTGTAGCCAGCATCTACAGCTGAATAAAACCCAACCAATGAAGGCCAAGTTTGTCCCGGAGGAAAGTTAAACTGTCATTGGATCCGCAACGAAATTAATCAGAAGAACAGGAGGAGTAACCACCACCACCACCACTGACCTGTATACACACTGGACTGGCTGCTGTCATAATGTTTTTGTGCCTATTTGAGTTTCGCCATTTTGGCGCTGTAGGCCATACTGTAGGCAGATACGATTGTCCATGGAACTAAAATTAGTAATGTTGTTTCTCGCTTACTCCTATGGTTACTCCATACAATGTACGTCAAAATTAGTTCTCGGGACAATCGTAGTGGCGCTTCTAATTGGCACACAATTTTTGTTTTTTAAGATTATTAGCAATTTGTATTGCACAAATTACTAATAGTCACGTTAGCCCCTCGTGTTAAGCTAAACAATTAAGCTTGTGTTAGGAGTGGGCTCGCCCCAATAGTCGAGCGACGGTGGGATTCGAACTCGAGTTCTTCGGATCTCGAGTCGGCCAGTCCGACAACTTCACCGTTGGGCTATCGTGGCTATAGTCTAATTAGCTGTCATTTGTATGAGACAGCCTGCCCAGTGTTTATAGAGGTCAGTGGTACCCACGCAGATCAATCGCTATAGTATGCAACCAAGCGTATTTACCCATAGCGTGCGGTTGCGGCAAGTTGTGTAGATGCGGCGCGTGCACCAACTGCTGTTGCTCCAGCAGCCCCAGCCGCACCTGCTGTGGGAAATTGACATATACAGGGTGTTGATTTCAATCCTCGCCATATTTAGGGAGTTGATCAAGATTATTTTGATCAGTAAAAAAATGACTTCGAAAAAAAAAACGAACTTTAACTTTACTTAGTCAAAGAAAAATACCTATTTACACTACCTACTTTACGTGTCTTCCTTCGGTAGGCTATCCGATTTAGTAGCTCGATGGTGCCGCAGTGTAAACGTATTGCAAGTATTGCGCACCACAGTAGGCAGTTGATGTCGCATGGAAAATATTTGCTAAAAAATCCACTTTTGTTTGTTTTTTTGTGGATAATGCGTTTATACAGGGTGTCCCGTAATGTAACGTCAAGCCGGAACTGGGTGTTGAGGCAAGTTATGCTGGTTATCAGAAAAATATAAAAAAAAATCTATGTGGCATATTTTCAAAAAAATGGGCATTTAAAAAAAATCAAAAATTTCTACTCCAGGTGACGGTCTTTTTACTCGTGTTGCCACAAATCTTCACTTTTTCCAAATTTTTTTTTTTGTTATGTAACCCTGAATAATGCTTCTCTAAATTGTTATCAAAATTACAAAACCAGCTGCTCCAGCTTGGATAAAAAAAATACATTATTCCCAAAAAAATTTTCAAAATAAAAATTTTGTCTAGTTTAAACTGACTGTACTGAAAAAAAAAATTACTACGCAAGTGTGGCATGTGACGTCATAATTTGGCGCATTTAGTAAGGATTCCAAAATGGTATAACACTTGGTAAATTCTTGCTGTAATTGTCGACAATTTTTGGTTTTTTGGAAATAATCCCGTTTTTAACTTTATCTACCTTGGTTAAAAATTATTATTCTAATATGCCCAAAATTCAAGTTTCTGTGACTGACTACCGTACAGTCAGTCACAGAAACTTTTGTCACCATGACAGTAATTAGTAGTTGACATACTGTGACAAAAGTCACCCGTGCGTGCGCGCCGTTACTACCTGCTCTGCCTGCACTTGTACTTGGTAACAGGGATAATAAGGATAATTATGAAGTTTCGGTTATGGATACGGTTACGGATATTAGAATAATATTATACCGGTTTCGGTTACGGTCACGGATATGAAATCATTTCAGATTATCCGAAAGTTTCGGATAATTTCGGTTACGGAATTATTAGAATTTCAAAAATGTAGGTATAATTCAAATAGCAAGATGCTGCGTGACCCACATAGCTACTTTATGTACCAACTAAGACGACACCTATGTATGATAAAGGTAAAACAGGCTGGCATATTAGATGGTGCCAGCGAATGCCAGACAAGTTGGTAACAAATATTAAGATTTAAGGTACAATTCCAAGACGGGCCGCAGACCGCAAACTGCAAAACTCTATGAAATCGGCAGCGCGGCATTGCTGCTGCGGCGTGTATACTGCAGATTTCATAGAGTTTTGCAGTTTGGAATAATTGTACCCTTAGACTCCGCCTTTATCCGAAACTATCCGTAACTTTTGAATCAGTTTCGGTTACGGTTATGGATATTTTTTTATTTCGGATATCCGATAGTTTCGGTTACGGTTACGGATATCCATAACATCCCTGCTTGGTAAGATGGCCCTCTCCGTCCCGCTCATACCTTTTAAAATGGCTTCTCCACCTCATTTAAGCCAGAAACTTGAATTTTGGGCACATTAGAATAATAATTTTTAACCAAGGTAGATAAAGTTAAAAACGGGATTATTTCCAAAAAACCAAAAATTGTCGACAATTACAGCAAGAATTTACCAAGTGTTATACCATTTTGGAATCCTTACTAAATGCGCCAAATTATGACGTCACATGCCACACTTGCGTAGTAATTTTTTTTTTCAGTAATGTCAGTTTAAACTAGACAAAATTTTTATTTTGAAAATTTTTTTGGGAATAATGTATTTTTTTTATCCAAGCTGGAGCAGCTGGTTTTGTAATTTTGATAACAATTTAGAGAAGCATTATTCAGGGTAACATAACAAAAAAAAAATTTGGAAAAAGTGAAGATTTGTGGCAACACGAGTAAAAAGACCGTCACCTGGAGTAGAAATTTTTGAATTTTTTTAAATGCCCATTATTTTGAAAATATGCCACATAGATTTTTTTTTACATTTTTCTGATAACCAGCATAACTTGCCTCAACACCCAGTTCCGGCTTGACGTTACATTACGGGACACCCTGTATAAGTAATAATAAACGTAAATAAATATGACGAGGATTGAAATCAACACCCTGTACGTAAAGCAAGGGTGCGAGCTTACTGCCGCTGAAGTGGGCAGTTGACCAAGGCTCAAGGCTAGAAGGACATACTAATACGAGTTTAAAAATTAATAAAATGTATCAATAAACAATATAGATGAATCATAGAATTTCTGAAAAACTAGTATTGAAATCGGACTGGAAACAAAAAAGTTATGTGTTTAAACTTTGTATGTATAGTAAATAACTTAATGCCTCTACGAGACAAACATGTATGTAGAGTAGGAGCGAGATAAGGAACAGTGACAGTTCAACGATATCTTTACATTTTTAACCAGCGTGGCAGCCATTAGAGACTCAATTCAAGAAAGTAGTCATATTATATTCAGTATTAACTGAGAATTATCAATATTTTTTCACATTAATTTTGACTTTGAGAAAAGGTCCCACAGGGTACCATACTATGCCCTCTTCTTCATAACATCACATTAACCCATTATAGACTGAGTTTTCTTAACCCTTTCGCACCTGAGATTTTCGTTCCTTTGTTTTGCAATGAAAACTATATTATTTTGGCAAAGAAGTGGTAACATTAATGTAAAAAATAGTAAAAAAAATCCAGCGTATAACAGGACTTTGGAAAGTCGATATCACGATAGTGAGCTCTGGGGCTGACTTCTACCAACTCACGATCGTGCATTTATACGTTTTGATGAGATTTTTATGCAATGATAATGTCCGCTTATCAGAAAAATATTTATAATGAAATAAAATGCATCTGGTTATTAGAAAATACTTATTTAATAATTGCTAACATTATAGCTTAGGTACAACATTACAGTATTTTGTTTTCATTGGAATGTAAATGTTCTTTCAACTGACAAATTAGAAACTAAACGAAATTCACATAATTTTATATGAGATCATTTTCATGTTCATTTGCGAGATAAACTCATATTTCTTAGGAAACAAAAATTTAACACAAAAACGAAGAAATTAACTAAAAGGCCTTTCTGGCTGTACAACTTAACTATGTCGATTGCGGTGCCCCCAGTACTGTCCTTGCGTTACAGGTGCGTTGCCGGCCTTTAAGGTGAAGTTACGCTCTCTTCTTGAAATTATGCAGGTCCTATCCGTCTGGAAACACCGCAGACGACAGTCCATTCCACAGTTTGGTTGTACGGGCCAGGAAGTTTCTAGAGAAACGTACTGTTGTGGACTGCCAACCATCTAAGTGGATGGAAGTGCTGTCGGGTAGATCGGTGGCGAAAAGTGGCGGCAGGAATAAGTCCGGACAATTCTTCGGAGCACTCCCCGTGATACATGCGATAGAAGATGCACAGTGAGGATACATCTCTACGCAGCGCCAAGGGGTCAAGCAAATCCGAAATGTCCTGGCAGTCAACGATTCAAGCTGCTCTCCGTTCAATGGGGTCCAGAGGGAGAAGCTGGTACTGGGGGGCACCTGCCTAAAGATGAGAACAGTATTCCATATGAGGCCGAACCTGCGCCTTGTAAAGTTGCAGACGATGGGCAAGATTGAAATACCGCCAGTACATTGCGATCCTAGGATATGAAAGTTACTATTGAACAAGGTGTCTGCTTTGACTTTTTATAACAAGATGGGTCTGCTTTTCTACCATCCATACTATCAGACGTAGACTTCCTCTTAGATATTCAATTGCCCAGCTGCCACAGATGGGTGAGGTGGAGAAGATAGCTCAACTTCAGGTTTTTCATCATTTTCCGGCTGCGGAGAGATAAACTCTTGGTCGTTGTCGACTAAGTCCAACTCGGAACAGTTACCCTCGTCGAGGAAGCCCAAAACGAGGTCGTTGTTCAATGGCAAAGGTAAAAAAAACCTTAAAAGTCACGATCATGCGTTGGTACAATTGCAACCCAGATATCACGATAGTGAGCTGGGTTTTTTTTCCATAAATTTAATGGGTAATTGCTAAGAATATAGAAGAAATTTATAGTTATTCAGATGCAACATACACTTAATGATGTAATACAATCAAAATATCAATGAATTCCTACGAAAATTGCAATAAAATAAATATTACTTACGACGTCCAGTGGCGGGGTCAAGAAACGCAGCCATTTTTCCGGTGCGCTCTCGGCTAATGATTCATTTAGCCGCCAAAACTGTTTTTTTTTTGGTAGATCGATAAGCGCACGATCAAGTGAGGTCGGTTTGGCGCGGAGAAACGAATTTGGCGCGAACTTATAATTTTTCAAAGAAGAAACTCACGATCGTTTCATTCAGGTGCGAAAGGGTTAAAGTGTCAGATTTTAGTTTTTTTGAAATGTGTTCATAATTATGGTCTACATAATGCTATACAAGCATTAAAAAATTATCCGACCTGTAATCTAGAAAAAAAATGCTGGTACCATATGGTACCGCTAGCCTCTTACCGTGTCAGTTGGTTAAAACATAACTTTATCATGGACTTAATAAAAATAGAGTAAATTATATATTTTATTATTATATTATGCTTGTATATGCATTAATATACAAGCAAATAACAGGAGTGATATTAAATGTAAAAAAGCTGTATATTGGGTAAGCAATATTCATTTTTATCTTTGAATATTCAAAATTTTGGAATGAAGCTTGGCATTGCACGCTGCACATAGCCCCACGTTACATTTTCTATACTCTGATATTGTTCGAGAGTTGCAATTATCTTGAGTTCGTTCTATAAATTTCTGTTTCGTCTTGGGATCATGATCGTCCTCCAAAACTGCCAATGTTTCGTGTAAGTTACATCTAAAATAAATAAAAACCCATGGTTTTGTAAAGTATAGGAAACAATTTTACTTTATCTTCCTGTATACCCTATATACCGTTGAATATATCACATACTTCCCAATCCCAATAAATACAGTAAAAACTAAAAATCATAAAATAATTATATATAATATATAATTATAATGGGTTAATGTCACAGCTCCCACAGGGTACCACACTGAGCCCTCTTCTTCATAACATCACATTAATGACATTAATGTGGGAGCTGTGACATTAATAATGTCACAGCAACACACAAGGTACCACACTGAGCCCTCTTCTTCATAACATCACATTACTGTCACAGCTCCCACAAGGTATCACATTGAGCCCTCCTCTTCAAAATACATTTTTTTCACTGGCAACACTAAATATTTACCTGCTGTGCGTGTTGCGGCTGCGGTAAGGGCTGGTGAGGAGGCGAGGGCCCGTGCGCCGGCGGCTGTACCGGCGCCGAGCGGTGTACCTGCGGACAATCATGTATGACTCAAGTTAAGAGCGTTTACGCGAAGCGCGGCGTTTCAAGGGGCATTATTGGAAATGATTCGCGCGCGGCGTTTTTTAATAGTTTCCAAATGTTTATAGCAAAACAATAACAATGAATTATATGTGGGAATAAGGAGTTTGGTTTAGTTTTTATTTTTAATTATGTTCTTTATGGTGACATGTCAGATTTGGTTTTAAATGACGTTAGCTGTCTGAGAAAGATGTACGATTTTGTTTAAGATATTTTAAGACTGTTTTAATAAAATGAAGAACTACGAATAACCATTATTTTCAATAGAACAATCTCACAATCCCACTTTTCAAAGTAAATATTTTAAAGAAGATGTCATTTTATTATATTAAGCTATTTTTATGTTGAATTAAAGAAGAATAATGGTGTAAAAATCACTTTGATTTTTGGGTATTTCACGTTTTTTTAATTTGTGATTTCTTATTGTAAAATGCTTAAATCTAAAAATTTTCTCAGATAACTATTTGCCCAAGGATCTATGCTATAGGATATAAATATTTGTTAAATCGTTTTAACAGTATTTTTATAAAAATTTCAGCTTGTAAACTGACGCTAAAGTGGAAATTTACAAAACCTGTGTGGACTTATCTTGATAGAATTCTTAAATACTAAACTAATCGCAATATTTTCTCAATTAACTATTTAGACGACGAAATTGCCTAACTATTTATGCCTATAACATATTTGTAATATTACTGGTTTATGATTGTAAAGAGTTGAAAAAGTACTGTTTTTGCGCCAATCGGCGTAAACGCTCTTAAGGCTTCCACAGACCAAACGCGAGGCAGAAACAGTACGGGTCAGTTGCAGCGCGGCTGAGGCACACTGAAAGCAGGGCAGTTTCAAAGCAGTTGCAACGCGGGCGGTTGTCAAAAATTTAAATATTCTAAAACCGCTTTCAACGCGCTGCTACCGCCCTGCGTCCGGTGTGTCATGCTAATATGGCCGCCATAGTAATACAACAACGCGGGCCCGCGTTCGCGCCGCTTCTGTCCCGCACCCGCGCCGCCTCGTTTGTCGTTCAGCAGTTGCAGTGCGGCGCGGTTGGAGCGCGGGCCCGCGTTCAAATTTGGTGTGACATACTTCAAAGAGTTTCTTGTATTACAACTTACGCGGGCCCGCATTCAAACTGCGCTGCTACTGCCCTGCGTTTGGTCTGCCCAAGGCTTTAGTTGACATTTTATATCCCGGCAGCAAGGTTCTGGAATGGAGGCCGCGTACCGGAAAACGCAGCGTGGAACGTCGTCATCGTGAAGGTAGCAGGGAAGCGCTGGACGCAGGCCGCTACCAATCGATCAACGTGGAAAGCATTGGGGGAGGCCTATGTTCAGCAGTGGACGTCCTATGGCTAAAATGATGATGATGATGATGATGATGATGAAAGGTAATATTGGAGCATACCTGGTGCATAATTTGTTGTGGGTGCGGCAGAGGCGCCGCGGCGGGCTGATGAGAACCCTGCGCCGCGCCCGCAGCGCCGCCCGCCGGGTATTCTGAAACAATAGATAGATACATAGATATACACCGTGAATTTTTAATTACCCGAGAAAATTAAGTAACATAGATATCGATATACATTGAATATGGCGAATAAAAAAGGTCCCTAACATTCCGTAAAAAATATGCACCATAAAAGTCCTGCTAATTCAAATAGTAATCATTATCATTCCAACATTAACGGAACCAAAATCCACCTAATTTGGTCGCGTAATATTGGCGTACGGAAAGATTAAGGCTGGGTTGCACCACCTAACTTTAATGGTAACTATGACGACAACTGGTGCTTTTTGTATGGAGTTTGACAGACTTTTGACGTTTGTCAAAGTTAAAGTAAGATGGTGCAACCCAGCCTAACCATGACGCGAGTCAGAATGAATGCATGCGTCTCTCTCTCTCTCTCATTAAACAAATACTACGAAGATGGTTTACATGTTTTTGGTGCATTAACAGGATTTATTTGAAGTCCTATAAAACGATATTTTTGTATGAACGCTATAATTGTGTGTCACTTACTGATATACATATTTTTATAAACACAAATTTTAGTTTTCTCGGGTAATTAAAAAGTCACGTTGTATAAATAAACACCATAGTATACAAAGTGATAAATAAATTAAATACACAAAATTAAAACGGCCCAATTTAGGCGAAATAGAGAGATATTATATTCGTTATTGCACACCACACAAAACTGACGATTAAAAAATACAAAATTGAAGCTTCACTACTTAGGCGAGATGGAACGTTAAAGTTGTATCGAGAACGTATCCAACGGTTTAAAAAAACACTGATGTCATTTTAAGTCAAAGGCCTTAACATTTTGTTTCAGCTAAATGATGTTCATGTTAGACAAAGGCCTTCCCTAAGAATTTCCATTACCTTCACCAGAGTGTCGGTCCATCTAATCTAGAGGTCTTAACGTGTCTCATAATATTTCAGCTTCTGCATTTAACTCACCAGCATATCTGATGCGTCTGGAGAAGACTGCAGCGTCTGGAGAAGACTGCAGCGTCTGGAGAAGACTGCAGCGTCTGGAGAAGACTGCAGCGTCTGGAGAAGACTGCAGCGTCTGGAGAAGACTGCAGCGTCTGGAGAAGACTGCAGCGTCTGGAGAAGACTGCAGCGTCTGGAGAAGACTGCAGCGTCTGGAGAAGACTGCAGCGTCTGGAGAAGACTGCAGCGTCTGGAGAAGACTGCAGCGTCTGGAGAAGACTGCAGCGTCTGGAGAAGACTGCAGCGTCTGGAGAAGACTGCAGCGTCTGGAGAAGACTGCAGCGTCTGGAGAAGACTGCAGCGTCTGGAGAAGACTGCAGCGTCTGGAGAAGACTGCAGCGTCTGGAGAAGACTGCAGCGTCTGGAGAAGACTGCAGCGTCTGGAGAAGACTGCAGCGTCTGGAGAAGACTGCAGCGTCTGGAGAAGACTGCAGCGTCTGGAGAAGACTGCAGCGTCTGGAGAAGACTGCAGCGTCTGGAGAAGACTGCAGCGTCTGGAGAAGACTGCAGCGTCTGGAGAAGACTGCAGCGTCTGGAGAAGACTGCAGCGTCTGGAGAAGACTGCAGCGTCTGGAGAAGACTGCAGCGTCTGGAGAAGACTGCAGCGTCTGGAGAAGACTGCAGCGTCTGGAGAAGACTGCAGCGTCTGGAGAAGACTGCAGCGTCTGGAGAAGACTGCAGCGTCTGGAGAAGACTGCAGCGTCTGGAGAAGACTGCAGCGTCTGGAGAAGACTGCAGCGTCTGGAGAAGACTGCAGCGTCTGGAGAAGACTGCAGCGTCTGGAGAAGACTGCAGCGTCTGGAGAAGACTGCAGCGTCTGGAGAAGACTGCAGCGTCTGGAGAAGACTGCAGCGTCTGGAGAAGACTGCAGCGTCTGGAGAAGACTGCAGCGTCTGGAGAAGACTGCAGCGTCTGGAGAAGACTGCAGCGTCTGGAGAAGACTGCAGCGTCTGGAGAAGACTGCAGCGTCTGGAGAAGACTGCAGCGTCTGGAGAAGACTGCAGCGTCTGGAGAAGACTGCAGCGTCTGGAGAAGACTGCAGCGTCTGGAGAAGACTGCAGCGTCTGGAGAAGACTGCAGCGTCTGGAGAAGACTGCAGCGTCTGGAGAAGACTGCAGCGTCTGGAGAAGACTGCAGTATCCGGAGAAGACTGCAGCGTCTGGAGAAGACTGCAGCGTCTGGAGAAGACTGCAGCATCTGAAGAAGACTGCAGCATCTGGAGAAAACTGCATGCCAATAAGCTCACTAGCATATCTGATCTGCTGCTGCTGTTGCGATTGCTGCGGTTGCTGCGGCTGCTGCGGTTGCTGCGGCTGCTGCGGCTGCTGCGGCTGCGGCGTGTAGTTCTCAGAGAGCGGGCGTTGGCGCAAACTGCTGTATCACTGCTTCTATAGTTACTAATGGACTCACCAGCATATCTGATCTGCTGCTGCTGCTGCTGCGTCTGCTACGGTAGCTGCGGCTGCAGCAGTCTGCTGCGTCTGTGACTGCCGTCGAAGACTGCAGCGTCTGGAGAAGACTGCAGCATCTGAAGAAGACTGCAGCATCTGGAGAAGACTGCAGCGTCTGGAGAAGACTGCAGCGTCTGGAGAAGACTGCAGCGTCTGGAGAAGACTGCAGCGTCTGGAGAAGACTGCAGCGTCTGGAGAAGACTGCAGCGTCTGGAGAAGACTGCAGCGTCTGGAGAAGACTGCAGCGTCTGGAGAAGACTGCAGCGTCTGGAGAAGACTGCAGCGTCTGGAGAAGACTGCAGCGTCTGGAGAAGACTGCAGCGTCTGGAGAAGACTGCAGCATCTGGAGAAAACTGCAGTATCTTTGCCAATAAGCTCACCAGCATATCTGATCTGCTGCTGCTGCGGTTGCTGCGGTTGCTGCGGCTGCTGCGGCTGCTGCGGTTGCGGCGTGTAGTTCTCAGCGAGCGGGCGTTGGCGCAAACTGCTGTATCTTTTGCTTCCGCCTCTTGCTTCCGCACCTGAGAAGTTTAGGAAATAAGGGAGGATTTCAATTACAATGGGGATGTTGCCTGGGTCAAAAAGCAAGAGTTTTAATTAGTCCGTCAGTTAACTTATCAAGAAATACTCTACACGTATTTTTCACTTTTTCAAACTAATGAAAATTTAAAGAGATAAAGCGCCCCAAAGTTCATAAGAAGAGGCCCGTGACGTCAACGCTTGCTTAAAAATGCCGCACGTTGTGACGTCGTGCGCAACTTCAACGCACCATAACTATGCAATTATTTGTTAGATTGACAAATAAAAATATACGTGTCCAATATTTTTTGATATTAAACATTACGGACTAAAAAAATTTTTTTAGGCAACTAGCCTATTGGAAGAGCATTAGAGCTCTTTCAAATTAGATGTTTTGAGCCAGCCGTTTGTCGTGCGTTTGCAAGACCACACACTGTAAATTGTATGACTAAAACGGAATAAAATTGACAATCACCAATCTGCAAACATACGACAAACGTCCTAGACTAAGAGCTAGTGAACGCCAGACCTACGTCATTTTATAAAAGCTGAAAGTTTGTCAGCGTATGCTCCCAATATAGGATATAATGTTGGTGAATTATGAAGTTTGGGTCTTGGTGGCTTTGGGAGCTACCCTAAAAAAACTGTCTGGCAAGGAGTTGGAACTGTCAAAACTGTCTGGCTGTTGGGGAAAATACTTCTAATTATTGCCCAAATATTATACATAAAAATCAGATTTAATGGTATAACGTTAGTAGAATTACAGTCAATTGAATATACAGAAAAAGCCACCGTAAAAGTTAGACTTACGTTCTGTGTATTAATGTGTAGTTGCGTTAATGTGTAGTGGACGCGTAACCTCGCCCTATATTAGGAACGTAATAAACCTTCGTTGTGGCTGATTACATGGCGACTATTCCAGTATTATAAGCTTACCAGCGGCCGGCTGCTGTTGGTTCTGCTGTGGCGGCTGTGGCTTCTGAGGCGGCTGCGGCTGCTGCGGCGGCGACTTATTCGGAGCTACGTTGTTCTGTTGTGGAGGTTGCTGGTAAAACAAATACAGTATAATTACTCAGTTCGAGGAATAAATAATAATAATATTATAATTTTGGTCGTCCATTTGACTAATATTTTAGCACCAGAAACACGCCTTTGAGATCGAACAGGTTGGGTAGCCATTGTGAAAACTATGAGCAGCAAACATTATGCGAAACGTTCAAACCGCGTTCAAACAACATTCGTGAAGTTTTGATGTAGTACACATAGTTAACCCGACGAATGATTTTCGTATAGAAATAGTTTAGAGTATTTGCCAATCAAAAATGAGTCCTAAATCTGTTAATATAGCACTGTAGCGATGATCAAACAGGCGAATTATGCGCCGATTCAGAGAAATTTGTCAATAAAAAATGAGCCCTAAAACTGTTCCCGTAGAAACCATTTCGCTGTCGGAATGGTTTGCTGTTTCTACAGAGGAGGTGAATGACACGAAAATCGCGCGCGAAATATATCTGCTAATCTAAAATGAGCCCTAAACCTAATTAGATACAGCCCATCTCTAGTGACCACTGACGCGGTGGATCGGTATCAAAAGCAAACAGGGGTGGAATAGTATGCTACGGGACTATTCCCACCTCTCGTTCCCACCACTGCAACTCCTGTGTATCCAGGATCTACAGCCTGACCGCCATAAAAAACCAACCAATGAAGGTCAAGTTTGTCCCGGGGGAAATTTAAACTGTCATTGGACCCGCAACGAAATTAATCAGAGGAACATAAGAGCAGTTCGAAATTAAGGTTCGACTCCCTAAGGTTCCCTCCATTGCACAGCGGATGACAGGAGACAAACAAAGGTTTAAAACTTTTAAGAAAAGATTATGCACCACGGACAGTAAATATCAATTAAGCAATTAGCAACTAAAGCCTGGTCCGTGAGCACGTAGAATTACGTAATTATATTGCTGTCGCGACTGTGCGACGGGCACTTGCAGTGAGTGTGCAAGCGCGACAGCAACATAATTACGCGCGAGCGATAAGGATGGGTAGCTTGGGGTCATTGGCCAAAATTCTACGTGCTCACGGACCAGGCTTTACCTGCCAAAAACATTTTTCACAAAATCGCTGGAATAGTAAGCTAAAATCGACCTTAATCAAAGAACACAGGGTATCTTACCGGCTGCTGCGGCGGCTTCTTCTTGCCCTGGTCGGTGGGCACCGGCCTCTGCTGCGCCACCGCGCTCACCTTCCGGGAACCTTGGCTGCCCAACAAAAGCCACGCTGATCAATGCATTCATGTTGTATCACATTAAAATAACTTTTAAAACTCATTAAAACTCATTTATTTCTGTAAATAGGCTTAAAAAAAGCACTTTTACACGTCCCAGTATTAACCCTACCACTGCTTCAGGACAATAAATGGGCCAGTGCTGAGAAGAAGCAGCGCAAGAAACTCAGTCACTATTGTCAGCCTCTTTTTCAAAGGTTTACATGCTTTAAAATGTACACAGTAAATATTTATGCGAGCTAGGCAGTAACGTATCCCAAACATTTTTATCTTTTAAATAATCATCGACTTTATAGTAGCCCTTTTTCATTAAGGTACTTTTAATATGTGCTTTGAATTTATGAATGGGTAGTTCTACAACAGTTTGTGGTAATTTATTAAAGAATTTAATACATTTTCCCATAAATGAATTACCAATCTTATGCAATCTGAAATTTGGAACGGCAAGTTTATTTTTGTTTCTTGTATTAAAGTTATGCATATCGCTCTTTTTCGTTAATTGCTCTATATTTTTGCGGACATATAAAAGGTTTTCATAAATGAACTGTGAACTTTTTTTTTTATCCACAACGAGGAAGCTCTTGGCCTGTATCTCACCTGATGGTAAGTGACGATCAGGCCGAAGGTCGAAGCGAGCTAAACCCGGAATCCTCAACCACGGAGGAACTGGCTATCTTACCTCTTAGGCAACTGCCGTAACACAACTGTTAACATTGTTGTTGTGGCGACAGACTTAGATATGATGGTGGTAGCTAGCCAGGCGGACTTAGAACAAGCCCTACCACCAACCAAACCGAACAGAAAAATCTGCCCCTACTGGGAATCGAACCTATGCGTCTGAAGCAGGTGGTCTTACCACTAGACCACAGAGGGGGTTAAATGTTTATACTACGACGTTTATAAGGTTTAAAATCCGTTGAATAATCATGCCTTTGACTTTAAATCCTTAGGTCTTCCAGAAAATAATTTACTTTTAAAAAAAAATAAAACCGACTTCAAATGCGTGAACACAAAAAAAAATAAAAATTAAAAATATTGCGTATAAAAAAGTTCATCCCCAATTTTACACCCTTGGGGGTGAAATATTTTCTTCAAATTCGCATGAAACCACCCTTTTGATAATACCTATTTAACAAAAAAATAATCGTTCAAATTGATTTATAATCGGCGGAGATATTGCGTATAAAAAAGTTCATCCCCAATTTTCCACCCTTGGGGGTTGTTTTTTCTATTATTAAATTTAAATGGGAATTTTAATGCCTCAAGGGTGCATTACCTATACGCCGAAAAAAGATTTGTTCAAATCGGTTCATAATTGGCGGAGTTATCGCGTAACAAACATAGAAAAAAAACATACGGGTCGAATTGAGAACCTCCTCCTTTTTTTAAGTCGGTTGAAAAGCTATCGCTATCATCATCATTTAGTCTCTTTACATTTCTTTAATATTTTTAGGTTTACTACCTAATCTAAAACATAATGAAAACTGCTTTTAAGTCAAAAATTCAATAACTTCTGCTTCAACCACACCAACGCGTGCAGATCGCCATCGCCGGCGCAATCATACGCCAATGACAGGTCGCGAGAACTGGTTCTTGAAAGTTTCCGCTAGGGGCGCTGTACAATCTATCATACATTTAATGTAATTTTTTTACGCGCTTACTATTTATTTATTTTATTTATTTATTTTAGGAATCAAAATCAAAAAATATTTATTTAGTTTAGACCACAAGTGGCACTTATGAACGTCAATAGAAAATAATAAAAAAAAGAAAAGGTAGCCCTTATGGGGCAATTTACATGTCTCCTTATATTTGGGCCCTGCCAGCGCTTCGAGACAAACATATGGCAAGTGCTGAGAAGAAACGCCGGAACAAACTCTGTTGAGAAGAAACGCCGGAACAAACTCAATTATAAACAAATGTGTTACAGAAATTAACTTATCTACTAGACTTATGTATTATTTATGTGGTAACACATCCCACTACGTAATCCACATATTGATATATGAAACCATGTAATATAGAGCGAGGCAATTACAATTAAGCCACGTCCTGTGGCTGAAATGATGATGATGATGATGATGACACCTTATAAACGCGGTGTAGCTCAACACCAAGAAGTAATTAATATTATGTTCAGACTTTTAATTATTAATTTTGTTCTGTTTTTTTTTTTTCATTTAATTTATCTTAATTTTAATTTGGTCACTTTGCAGAGTGTCTAAAATATGCTTTTTAAATCTTGAGGAACTCTGGGAAAAATCGATGCTATTAAAATTCTGGTTGTAAATGGACAACAGTCTATTGAGTGGGGCTCGTAAACCAGTTTTAGTCAGTACTAGTGAGTTAAACTCATACTCAGTCCTCTGCACGCGTTGGTTTGGTTGAAGCTTTAGGCATTATGTCTGTAAGTAGATATCACACTCTTATTGAAACTAAACTCACTTATTGTTGACCAAAGACGTGGTTATGGTGAGATTCTCTAGCGGCGGCATTTTCTCCTTGGGCTGCGGCTTGGGCGTCACCGGCTCCCGTTTCACGGGGTTCTTGCTAAGATTCTGCTTCGGCGGACGGTCCGGTTTACCTGAAAAAAATATATTAATTTAGAATTTTGGAGGCCGCGTACCGGAAAACGCAGCGTGGGACGTCCACCTACAAGGTGGACCGACGACATCGTAAAGGTAGCAGGGAAGCGCTGGACGCAGGCCGCTACCAATCGATCAACATGGAAAGCATTAGGGGAGGCCTATGTTCAGCAGTGGACGTCCTGTGGCTGAAATGATGATGATGATGATGAGAATTTTACACTTTTGTAGGGTAGAGTGTAGGTAGAATCTGAAACATTTTAAGTCGACTTTCTACTTTTTATAGCCACGGCTGCATTTGTCTTTAAAACCGAAAGAAGCAATCCGCTACCTCCGGAAAGTAATCCGTTTCGAACCACTACACCAAACGGCCGACAAAAACACTTTAAATTTATTTATTTAAGTTTGTTTCCAGGTTTAGACTCGTACAGACAAGGCACATCGAGGTATACAATGTGGCATCTTTATGTAATGGTAATAGAGGAGATATTGCGACAAACATGTATAATCTGATATGCTGTCGACCGACTATACCTAATCTAAAACAGTGCTGAAAAGTTCTTCTAAACTAGAGCTTAGATTGAAAATTGTGATTGATTGAATTTCAATATTCAGATCAATCAAATGATCGATTGATTGATAGTGTTTCATAAACGATTCGAAAACCAGTTGCAATTCTCGTCGGAAAAATCGTTTATCTCATTTTCAATTATTGTTTATAAACGTAATGTAATCTAACTGAACAGTTTTTTCAGCTAAAAAAATATTAAACCAATAAACTAAGCACAATAAATCACACAAAACGGAAACAAGAGTGAAAAAGAAATTAATTTAGTGTGTTCATCGCTCGTCTTACATTTCCGTGAAATTATGAATTACTAGCTTTCCACCCGCGGCTTCGCCCGCGTGGAATTTTGTCTGTCACAGAAAAACTTTATCGCGCGCGTCTCAAAATCCGGGATAAAAACTATTATATGTCCTTTCCCGGGACTCAAACTATCTCTATGCCAAAATTAATCAAAATCGGTTCTGTGGTTTAAGCGTGAAAGCGAAACAGACAGACAGACGGAGTTACTTTCGCATTTATAATATTAGTATAGATACAGTCACTAAGTATAAACTTATTTGTTATTTCCAGTTTTAGTTTAGTCTTCTACACTCGAGAGCAAAAATATGGAATCGCCGTATTTATTCCGAACGATCAAAGGAACTAAATGACTTATCGAAGATAAATAAGAATGGTACCATTTTAAAGGTAAATTACATAATTTTAATTGATACCATAGATACATACTTCATTTATTTTATTTTATTTTAAATCTATGAAGATTTTAGTTCTTGAAAGTATCCGCTAGGGGCGCTGTACAATCCGTCATACAATAATAGGTTTATAACTATCTATGTTGATTAACGCCCACTACTAGACGGAAGTGCGGAAATACTCGTTCGGAAACTTCGAATAAGTATAGGGTAAACCGACAGTCATTGGACGCTGCCAGTCATTGGAAAAAACAACTCTTGAATTTTCTTAAAACGAATATTCCTTCAAATACAATGAATATCCTTAAAAAAAACGCCCTTTTATCTCAATCAGTCGGAATCTCTCAGTTGTTGAAATAGAAATGCTATTTTTAATTCAGTAAATAACTGTCCAATAACTTTCTTAAGTGTCCAATGACTGGCAGTTTACCCTAGTTCATTTTCACGAATACATTTTTTTGTTATGATAATAATCGGTTGATAAACCGATAATTATCCATCTGTTATTATCACGACAATTATCCTTTCGAACCCTGGCGACTTTGCAACAAAAATGTCGTCTAAACATATTGTTTAAGGCGATTATCACACTGCGCCGCGCTCCGCCGGAGCGCGTGATTTCATATAAAAAATCCCGCGCGCAGACGCGTTGTCAGTGTGTTGTGCCGCGCGTGTTTTCTATACAAACTGAGGTACTTGCATACAATGATTAAATCTGTCGTCCCGCGTACCGCGGCGGATCGCGGCGCAGTGTGATAATCGCGTTAGTGCTCACCTTTAGGCGACTTGATAGAAGCGTTCCTTCGCAGCTGCGTGCCGTTGTCGAGCGACTCGTTGGACGCCGGCTGCGACTTGGACCGGGGCCGGGGACCGCGGCCCTTTCTGCTGCAAAATCAGAAAAACAAACTTAAGTCAACTTGTTAAAATCTAAAATATACTGGCAAGAATTCAGCTACCATAAGTGAAAGAACTTAAAAGATTTTGAATATTATGTTCAGAGGAGCCACAAGCCACCTGGGAAGGTGCAAGAAAGTCTTCGCGCCTGTGTATCGACGTTAGCTGAGCTTGCCAGCGTCAACTGTGCTCGCCAGTGTTACCTGTGCTCGCCAGTGTTACCTGTGCTCGCCAGTGTTACCTGTGCTCGCCAGTGTTACCTGTGCTCGCCAGTGTTACCTGTGCTCGCCAGTGTTACCTGTGCTCGCCAGTGTTACCTGTGCTCGCCAGTGTTACCTGTGCTCGCCAGTATTACCTGTGCCTGCCAGTGTTACCTGTGCCTGCCAGAATTACCTGTGCCTGCCAGTGTTACCTGTGCTCGCCAGTGTTACCTGTGATTGCCAGAATTACCTGTGCCTGCAAGTGTTACCTGTGCTTGCCAGTGTTACCTGTGCTCGCCATTATTACCTGTGCTTGTTGCCAGCCTCGAGCTCGGGGAAGTCCTCCGGGTTAGACGCTTGTACGCCTCCTCGTCTTCCCAGGTGCAAGAAAGTCTACTTTAGCGCCTGTGTGTCGACGTTAGCTGAGCTTGCCAGCGGTAACTGTGCTCGCCAGTGTTACGTGTGCTCGCCAGCGTTACCTGTGCTCGCCAGTGTTACCTGTGCTCGCCAGAATTACCTGTGCCTGCCAGTGTTACCTGTGCTTGCCAGTGTTACCTGTGCTTGCCATTATTACCTGTGCTTGTTGCCAGCCTCGAGCTCGGGGAAGTCCTCCGGGTTAGGCGGGCGACGCGGCGGCGCTTGCGCTTGTTGACGCTTATACGCCTCCTCGTCTTCCCAAGTACGAGTGTACTTGTTAGGACCGCGACTGTGTGTGGAGATCAATTGGTTAATTCACACATATTTGTATTTGACAATAGAGGATCGGACGCAGAGTTAGACTCAGAAAACACGGTGAAACGCAATTGCAACGAAACTGCAACTTTTAGTTACTTTTGAGTTGCATCTAAGTTTCTGCCATAGATTCCGTTGAGAGATCACACACGCAACCATTTCAAACCGGTTTTAAACTTGTCGCGTCATGTGTGGTCTCTCAACGGAATCTATGGCAGAAACTTATATGCAACTCAAAAGTAACTAGTAGTTGCAGTTTTGTTGCAATTGCGTTTCACCCTGTGTTCTGGGCCTAAATGAGAGCTACCGTATTTGCGGTCACCAGTTAGCGACAATGGCAAGTGACATAATATAAAATAATTAATTTTCTGCAAATATGCTATTAAAAAGGGCAGTGGCGCCATCTTGGCGAGTGCAAATGTGATAGTTCTCCTACTTTTTATGTCTGTCAATAAGCTGTTTCTCGATAAAGCTTGTTTAAAAACAACCAAGTGTGAGGTCCCTTGTGGGTTCTGTTTAAAATAAACTGACGAAATGATTATTATTATAAGTTTCAAAGCAAATACTTAATTAAAAATTGACTTGAAAAATGTTATTTGTGAATGGTGTCCGATCCCCTATTATGATAGCCGCACAAATATCGGAGTTAATGCCAAAGCATTTTGCCCCTGTTTTTTTTTTTTTCAAACAGAATATAAGGCGGCGCATGCATAAAGCATTAATTATAAATAAATAAATAAACAGTCACAACCAGAACGTAATATTAAGTTACAAAAGGTGACAAAATTAAAAAGGTTGTAAGATTAACCAGAGCAACCTTATGTATAAAAAAAAACTATCGTCGAAGCGCAAAAAACAGAACAATAATAAGAGTCATGTAATTTGAAGGAATTTCCTTTATTAGCAAGAAATGTTTATTTAAATCCTAAAAAATATAAAATAAATGTTCTGAAGCCGAACTTATTAATATTTGTCTATGTCAATGTACGCTAATTGACCAATATTTCAACGCCAACTCAAAACGGACAGTAAAATATAACACTCAATCTCTATGTGCATAATAACAATAAAAACTAATTAAAAAAAACACACAAACGAAAGTCAACGACTTACTGAAAGTGACAACATGCATACACTGAACAAACAACATTAATCACGCGAGTGTAAAGTCATTAGTGAAAAAATCCTTCGGCAACAAAATTTTAACATAAAAACGGCATTAAAATAACTAGAAAGCAAATTCAGACAAAGGCCATGCAACGGTGAACGCTGAAAATTCGGTGGCGATTCTGTTGCACAAATTCTTTGAAACATTTTTGAAACCTCTCTCTTTTTTCGATGGAGAGTGAAAGAGGACCCGAATCGAATTTAGGCTCGTGTATAACAGAAGAATTTAATAGATTCTAGACTGATTGGTCTAAATATTTAAAATTCTATTAATGCAAATAAGCAAATGGAGGACTCTCTCTTTTTGTTGGAGAATGAAAGGGACAGACTTAACGCGAATTTAGGACTGTAGAGTCAACTTTGTATGTACATACGGAACCTCCGAGAGATGAGAGTACAGCGACCAACCAAAACAAAAAATGGCCACCATCTCTGTTAGGCNCTGCCGCCGACGAGGCCTGCGGCGGAGCCATTCTCCAGGCAACTCCGGCTGAACAGGTATGTTGAAGCTTATCTTTTGTTGGTTAAATTTACTTCTTAGGCCTCAGCCTCGAGTTTAGCGGGCAGCGGGGCGGGAGCGGCGGCGGCGCTGGAGCGGGGCGGGCAACGCAGACCCGTTCTCGAAACAAGCGGGCAGCTCGCGCGGCGCTTTAGCGGCGAAGTGTTGTGTTCGGGGTTGTGTTGTCGAGATATTTGTTTTTATTCGCAAACGAAATGTCTGAACAACGGCGACAATTTTATTTCGATTCAAATTTATTCCTAACGCTCGATTTATTGTGGGCAAAAGAAGGAGTGCGCTGCCCGCTCGTTGCCCGCTGCCGCCCCGCTGCCGCGCCGCTGTTTTCGAGAACCGGTCTATTTGATTTTACGCATAAGATCCTGCCGCTCCCGCGCCGCCGCCGCCGCCGCCCCGCTGCCCGCTAAGTTCGAGGCTGAGGCCTTATACAGGCCCCTCGCCTAGCCTGTGCCTGCCCTGTGTTTAAAAATAGATTGTGAGAGACTGGTGTCTGAACACCAGTCTCTCACAATCTATTTTTAAACACGATTTACATTTTTTTGTAATACTTATGTATCAGTTATATTGCGGAGAAAAATAAAGATTTTTATTATTTTTTATTTTATTCTTTCTCAATCAATGATTCAAGATTATGATTGATCTTTTATTCAATCAATTAAAGAAAGGCTCAAATCAAGGCTCTAATTTAATTAAGGTTAAAACCTTTTAAGTTTAAGAATCATTTTATATTTCCATTTGATTTTTCAAACCCATGGGTCTGACGCAGCAGGTCTGAAGCAGTAACGTCAAAAAATGCGCACTTTTCTATACAAATGTAAAGACTGAAGAGTTTGTTTGTATAATATTAGTATGGAAAAGTGCGCATTTCGCGAAATGCACATTCTGCGTCAGACCCAAACCCATGTGTAGATTATAAATCAGTGCAACAAAATAACCACCATCGTAAGTTATTTTTGAAACTAACCGCCAATGTCGATACCTCCAGTTAGTAATGCATACGGAAAACACCAAACTGGTTCAAATTATTTGCCATTTGTTCATGTCACTTTGGGAAGATGTTCATTTTATAAATTAGTATACAGGATTAGGCCTCCTATTTGATGAACCGATGATCAAGTTAGGGTAAACCAGTATTAGTAGTTCTGATGGACCGATGACTCTTACATGGTTTCTACATTTAATTAATAGTGATTGAAGATGAAAGTGTAGTTTTTTTTCCTCAGTCTATTCAATTTATGTGGATTAAATGAAGACATAGATTCAAAAATTGTTTGAAATGTGCCATGGGAAAATAGTTCCCACATTATTTTAAACCTTATTGCCTTGACTTTAAGGCCACAATGAAAAAGTTTCATCTTGTTATGTCTATGTAAGTATACATAACAGTCTAATTTAAAGCTATTGCCTTGACATTTGGTTCACAATATTGTAAATTTTATCTTGAGTCCTTTAACTATAAATTTGAGGCATAAGTTAAACCTTATTGTCTTGACTTAAAGTCCACAATCAAAAGTTCTTGATGTCTTATAGCCTATATTCAGACTTACCCATATCTCCTGTTGCGGCGAGCGTGCGGCGGCGCATCCTCGTTCCGTATGTCGTATCCATATATGGCCACCAACTCTTCACGCGATTTGGGCATCTAAAACAAGGTGATAGATTTCAATATCGCATGGTTTATGTCATTGGTTCCCAAAGTGGGGGACGCGCCGCTCAAGGAAGGCGCAAAGACCTTTAAAAGGCATGGGCATCTGTGTACAACTGTACATAAGTATAAAAAACCTGCGACCGCTAAGAGAATGCATTCCAGACTGCTCGATACGACCAATAAATAATCTTGATTGGAGGAGGGGGTGCGCGGAATTTTTTGTATTGTCGAAAGGGGGCGCGTTTCAAATAAGTTTGGGAACCAATGGTCTATGTAAAACATTGTAGTGTGCGACTTTCATGAAAATAAAAATATAAGGATAATAATAAAATGTCATAATAGTTGGAGCAAGGTTTCTACAACAGTTTTGATAATTGGTATTTTATTATTACGATTATTATATTATTGAATTGTGTGATTTAATTCGAAGTAACAATAAATATTACCCAAAAAACATTTTACATTGTAAAATTATCTCAGAAGAGATTTATAACTTTATTAAAAGACTGCCTTTCTATTGAGCATTGAACATAGTTGTTCAGATGGGAATTCTTGGATGGCTCAAACTTGGAGTGCAAGTGTGGTTTAGTTCCCTAGTCGATGAAGCACATGATGTCGTGCCCTGCGTGCCCAAACAACTGCACACAAGAAGATTTAATAAATGCTACTGACAACGCCCCTCTTGTAGCGGAGTTTTGGGCTGACACAGTATAGGTTTGTTACAACAAGAAGATTGAACTAACGTTCGGACTTTTACAACTTTATTTCCACACCTGTACACACTTGTCCACGCCTTTCCACACTTGTCTACTCCTGTCCACACTTGTCCATGCCTGTCCACACTTGTCTACTCCTGTCCACACTTGTCCACGCCTGTCCACACTTGTCCACGCCTGTCCTCACCTGTTCATTCTCGTTGTACTTGTCGTGGGACCACTTGTTGATGATCTCCGACTTCCGCGGCGGACGACGGCGCTCGGCGGGCGTCTCACTGCCTTCCTAGATACATGTCCACACCTGTCCACGCCTGTCCACACTTGTCCACGCCTGTCCACACTTGTCCACGCCTGTCCTCACCTGTTCATTCTCGTTGTACTTGTCGTGGGACCACTTGTTGATGATCTCCGACTTCCGCGGCGGACGACGGCGCTCGGCGGGCGTCTCACTGCCTTCCTTCTTCTCAGAGGCAGCTTCTGATGTCGTATTGGTAGATTCTTCTCCGCTGCAAACGAGATTGATTGCTTGAGACATGATACACTACTATTTGTAGAGATAGCAGTTTCGTGTATTCGATATTTTTCTATTGGCAACCCTTCATCTAATCTAAATATATATTATTATGTCAATTTATACACCTGGTGAATGGAGCCTAAACTCTCCCGATATTTTGCCTTGTACTTTTATGTATGAATATTAATTTTATATATGTATTTATAAATATTCCGAGCTAAAGAGGTGGCAAAAGCAATGGCAAACAAACCACAATCAATAGTATTCGGTTGTCGCTGAACACTTGGAAACTGAATACATGACTCCGATAGATACGGAAACAAGGCTTTTACATATATTTTTTGCGATTTTCCTAGAACACCAACAAGACTATCGTACACACGCAGTATTCCATTAATGTAATAAATACAACTCCAGTGCCCCACTAATCCCACGTCACCGTCATAAATTACTTGAAGGTGCGTCTCATTTTTAGGTACAGGTTCAATCAGTTCAGGGTGTTGAAATAATTCTAGCTCACGCGGTCTAAATGATGTGCACCGAAGTAACTTTTCATGAAATGCGCGAACCACATCATCTTCGATATAGTTATTATAATTCAGAATGTAGGAAAACGTATTATCTAAAGTATCCATTGTTAGATGATATACAATAAGCTTTAGAAATTTTAAAAACCTGCTACGAAACACTAAAATTTGCACCAAAAACAAAGGAATTTATATTATTGGGGGATTTATTAGTACGTGACCGGTTTAATAGCACCTATTAAACCAGTATACCTACTTACTTATTTTTTATAATAGGTACAATTCAATATTAAAAAGTCTCAACGCCAAATTCGACTTGCGAAAGAAGTAAATGGGAACGATGAAATTCTCTTAGCGCGCACAAGTGACAACGACGTCTGCCCTCACGTGTCTGCCCGTTCGGGTCGACGCGGTTAGCTATCTTATCCCCGCTCCCGCGCGAGACCACGCCCCGCAACTCACGCGCTGCAGCGCAGCGAGCGACCGATCTTCTTGAATCGATGTAATAATAATCTATAGGATTAACGCGTTTTAAAAATATTGGTTCGATGGATATGTTTAACCTATTATTACTCAACAATCACATTTGTAATATTAAACTTTATCAAATGCACAATGTATTTAAGGTACATTACTGGATAAGGATTAATGGCGTATTGCTTGAATAAGCTAATATTTCTCGTAAAAAGTACCTACATTATAAAGATTTTATATCATCGCGGATTTTAAAAGGTGTACAATACTGTAGTATATTTTTTGATCTATCTTATAAGGTTCAGCCATCGTTTTCAGTGTAAGCACAATAACTTAACCAAAATTACAGTTAAATCAACCTATCTCAAAAACTATAAGAGATACTTTGATCAAACCAAAAATCGTTGAAAGAGTTAATTAGCATGCATCACCTCTATTTTTTTTAGAATTTTATACCCCGTAGTTATAAAAATAGAGGGGGGGGGACATACTTTTTACGACTTTGAGAGCTGATATCTCAAAAACCGTTCACTTTAAGAAAAATGTTTTTTAGAAAACTTTATATCATTTTAAAAGACCTTTCCATTGATACCCCACACGGGTATGTACATCGAAAAAAAAATTTTCATCCCTCAGTTACATGTATGGGGGGCCCCACCCCCAATTCTTTTTTTTACTATTTAGTGTCATAATTTTGTAGCGGTTCATACAACACATATTCCCATCAAATTTCATCACTGTAGTACTTATAGTTTCCGAGTAAATCGGCTGTGACAGACGGACAGACGGACAGACGGACAGACGGACAGACGGACAGACGGACATGACGAAACTATAAGGGTTCCGTTTTTGCCATTTTGGCTACGGAACCCTAAAAAAGAGAAACTGACTGACTTAGTGACATATCAACGCACAGCCTAAACGTCTAAACGTAGGCACTTGAAATTTGGAAGGGACGTAGCTTAAGTACCGTAGAGGTGCACTAAGAAAGGAATTCCCGAAATTCTCACGGGAATTAGCGGGAAAACATTTGTATTAAAAAAATCTAAACCGCGTAAGATAGACGCTTGAAATTTGGCATGCAGGTACCTTAGTAAACTTAAAGCTTAGTTACAACAGGATATTGCAAAATTCGCACGGGAACGGGAGTTAGCGGGAAAAAACATTTGTATGAAAAAATCTAAACCGTGTAAGATAGATGAAGGGGGTAAAACGGGATCCACGCGTACAAAGTCGCGGGCGGCCGCTAGTAAAATATACAGGTTGTCCCAAAATTAGCACGTCACACTGACACCGGATATATGTAGATGGGCCCGAGACGCATAGTACAAGTAATATGCCTACGATTTGCAGTAGTGTTGTATGCTCTTTGAGCGGAACATAGTGATACTACTGTAACATATCACTATTTTTTCACCTATGATTCACAATAAAGATTTAGGTATTTTGAGTGCTTCGAAAAATAGGTAACTAAAACTGGTCATATCTTAAAACTCATGATTTTTCTGTGGACTTAATTAGGTTTAGGTAAAGGTAGCAGGGAAGCGCTGGACGCAGGCCGCTACCAATCGATCAACATGGAATGCATTGGGGGAGGCCTATGTTCAGCAGTGGACGTCCTGTGGCTGAAATGATGATGATGAATTAGGTTTAAATACAATACCAGAGTGTACGGGTTCGATTTTCGAATCTGAGCGGAGTGGTGGTGTGAAAATAACGAAACTTGATTGGTTCAACACATCTGGGGGCACGGCAGTGCCCCCACCAAGTCGAGCAAAAAAGCGGCACGGCCGTACCATCCTTTTCTCGAAGCAATTCAGGCCATTTTCGACCGCCTGTAACTTCGTTGTGGATAAAACTAGAAGGCTGAATTTTCATTAGCTATGCAGGCATTGTAAAGACACGGTATATTTAAAATTTCATTCAATTTGAACCAGTAGTTTAAGAATTATAACGGGTCAAAGTTACTTAATTTTGTCACTCACTGACTGACTCACTGACTCACTGACTCACTCACTGACTCACCGATCATCAAAACTCTAAGGCACTTCTAGCAGACCTAGAAGCTTCAAATTTGGAATATAAGTAGTGTTTGGTGTATGAATCAAGGAAAAACTAAAATATTTGGGGGCACGGTAGTGCAACCGCCAAGTCGAGTAAAATTTTTCAATTTCGGTCCAGTTTTCTAGATACATAACTGCTGTCTACAAAATACAAAAAGAAATGAGATCCCATCAAAAACAATACTTGTCAAAAAAACCAAGTCTCGCAACTCAGTTGTTCTACGGTAAAAAGTTATGAGATCCATGTAATACAAAGTCCAGGCCAGGAAATCTTTAACGTTTTACATAAATATATTGACTTGGCCATCGCATGAAAACACGTGTAAATTAAATTATTTAGTGCGATGGCCAAGTCAATAATTTAGTAGTAGTATAGTAGTAGAACAACTGAGTTGCGAGACTTGGTTTTTTTGACAAGTATTGTTTTTGATGGTCTCTTCTTCTCTTCGCTTTGGTGGAATTCGTATTTACAAACGATGCTTACTTTTAAGGGCTATATTTCACCGGGACACCATGGCGGCGCAACCACTCGCCGCTACCAACAAAATGTATACAGCTTTGCGCAACCAAACGGACACCAGGTGAGTATCTCTCTATAGAGCTGTATACATTTTGTTGGTAGCGGCGACTGGTTGCGCCGCCATGGTGTCCCGGTAAAATATAGCCCTAAGTGATGCAGAAACGCTATGCGAAGTCGAACGCACAGCGTTGAACAGATCTCTGTGATTGGCTCGTGTGTGGCACTCCGTCAAGTATTGTCTATGAATAGGTTTTTGGGACCCTGTGCGTCCACGCGCACTGTGAGACCTCATTAATGTTTGAATATGGGTGTAAGATTCGTATTTAATTTGACCGATAACGCGTTCACATAATTATTGTTTACATGATTAGAATTTATTGTTATAACACACGAATGCACTATGTCTGTGATGCAACATTATAAACAGCTTGTCGGGTACCTATGTACTCGATACAAACAGGACTTTGACTTGCACACGTAACGTGATTGGTAGTTAAGTACCAGCGAAACCGGCCTAAGAAGGAATAGAAAGAAAGAAAGAAATATTTATTGCTATGGACATCACACAAAGATAAAAAAGGTAAGTAACAAAAAAAGACAAGAGGTAACGCATAAAACAATAATAATAATAAAAAAAACTATTTTTATCCACAATCTAACTGACACAAAAGTATTACAATAAAAATTGTACATCATGTATAAAATAGATTGTGAGACTGGTGTATGAGCTAGGCGAGGGGCTTGTATAAAACTTAACAATGAAAGAGAAAATGAGCTGAGCAGTGCCACCCTGTCATAACAGCTATGCCCATCGCAATGGGACTCCATTCAGCATAATTATACCGTGGCCCACGGTGAGGAAGGCATCGGCCCTGGTTAGGGATAGGAATAAACACGAAAGCAGTTCAACTATTTATCTCAGTTACAGTTTATATAGTCTGGTCTTTGAGCACGTAGAATTTTGTCCAATGACCCCAAGCTACCCATCCTTATCGCTCGCGCGTAATTACGTCGCTGTCGCGCTCGCACACTCACTGCGGGCGCCCGTCGCACAGTCGCGACAGCAATATAATTACGCGCGAGCGATAAGAATGGGTAGCTTGGGGTCATTGGACAAAATTCTACGTGCTGAGCACGAAGAATTTTTTGACCGGGCTTTAGAATATGTTTTTTTTTGTTATTATAACACTGACACTACCGCCATATACCATACTTATTAGCAGACTCAGTGGTCAAACTTCCGCTGCGAATAGCTGTCAATCTAGGAACACCGTAAACTGTCCATACAGAACGTATGTTCACCGCGAACATTCTTAACGAACAGTATTCGCTGTTACACACACATTAACGATTAAATAGTTGCATAATGCAGCGAATTTGTTCGTACGTGTCGTGCGAGCCCCGCTTA